AAAAAAAAAACCCCCCCCCCCCCCTCCCTCCATAAAGTTTATCCAACCTTTATTGTCCCTCTGATTAATTTTCAAGTATATATTGATAGTTTGTTCAATAAAACAAAGTTTATTAACTTTATGATTAGTTCAGAAATTTAAGACTACCAAGGGTATAAAGTTTTTTATTGTATTATTAGAAAATCTTTTCTAAAGTTAAAAAACAAGCAGCAAACAAACAAAAAACTAGTCGATCAGGAATTTTAACATGGCTTCTTATCCTTAATTTGGGGGAGGGGAAATACGCGAATTAGTGATATACTTTTAGTTGGCTCGGTTTTTAGTTTTTTTTAGGGTCAAAATTATGCTTAGAATAAGAAAAGCAAATATATTTAAAGCTGTTTTTCAAAAATTTTATATGTTTACAATTATGTTACATAATTGGTTTTACATGTTAAATATTTTTACTAGCTTTAACATTATTATTACTACGAGTTAAGTTACACGGAAATTAGGATTAAATATTTTTTGAATTTAAAGCCTATGTGTTTAAGATTAAAAAACAAACAAAAAACTTCACGGTAATAATTATTCCGTGTTTGTTGACGCTTAAGGGCGTTTACATATCGCATGTTAAATTATGTCAAATTTTGACTCTGACAGAAGTTGTGTTAAAAAATTACACCAAAACGATCAAAAACATTACATGCGTTTTCAGATCTATTTTACACTTTTTATTGTTTTAGATAATGCAAAGTTAAATAAAAGCAAGAAAAATCAATCGGAATTGAATGATGGCTTTTAATCAGCTTTCTTCTTCCTTAATATGCAGTTATGGATCAAGACATTGCCATCATTAGTGTTATTAATTCCTTTATCATCATCATGTAAGATTATTTAACACATAAATGTTTGATTGATTTTTAAGACTAAGTTATGAAGATAAACTTTTACATTGGAAAGATGATTTATTCTTTTCTATGAATATTAACAAAATTTAGATTACAATTGGTTGGTTCTATTCATTTGCAGATTGAAGTCTTAGGTTTTCTTTGACAGTCTTTAAATCCACCATCCAGGAGTACCTGGCGTCTTTCCGTCTAAACAATTATCGTTAATGTTGTTGTGGACGTGGTACTATTAAATAGTTGTTATGCAGAATTAACTATTAATCATTGTTTCATTAAAATAGAGTTAAAAATTTAAAATGTATGTAAGTGTTCTTTTTGAAGAAAATATTCTAACAAATTAAAAGCGAGCTGTCTGAAGGTGTAATTACCTGCTAAAACCGGAAATAACGGTTCCATTTTCCAATTCTACATCCGGTTTCATCAGGGCATCCAGGTGGGCTTGCTAATACATGTAAAAGTGAATTATTCTTAAAGGGAGTGACTAACAAGGTATGGTTTAGTTGAGAGTGCAGTATTTTAGAATAAAATAATAAAATTCAAAATAATACAAGGTTGACTAATCCAGGAGGTTTCCTCACATAAAACATTACTTGAGTGTAGACTATCTAATAACCCAAACTCAAATTCAAATTTTACATCTATCAAAGTTTGTTGGAGCACCGGAACCAATTTTAACTAAGTAGCACAAGAAGGATAATTTAAGTAAGGAAGTTGATAAAAATATCAATATTTGGTCAATTTTAGCTCATTAATCCCCCCCCCCTCTATCCAATCTCTTTGGAAATAGCGCAAAACAAAATTTTAAAACCAACTTTGGTCAATATTTTATTTTCGTGAATCATGTTTTCCACAAGATTACAAAAAATACCCCCGAAACCTTTATCTGATGAATAATGTTTAAGATTTTGTCAGTTTTCTAGGCTTAATTCTGTTAATTCCTTTATGTTTTATGTATTCCAAATTAACAGATCACCTTTAAAAACCACCAAATTATCAATCATAAAAAGCGGGGATTACCATACTTGCAAGGAGGGTCACTTAAAATTTCGCCAACAGTCCCTTTAAAATTGAAATAATACCTTGATTTCATCTTGTTCCTCAATCAGTGAAATTCTCTAAAATCAATTTTATTATTAATTATCTTATTTGTGTCTTAAGCGTTTTATTTAAGGAAAGATGACCATACTGAATATATAACAGTATTTACTTTGTTAAAATTGCATAATACTTTGTTTGTAAAAAAGGCTTTATACAAGTTTATACATATTAGTATATATAGGATTTTTTGTTTATATTGATCAAGGTATAATAATGCTTTTGAAAAAAATATGGTCTACCGAATTGTACCTATATTTACTTTTAAGTACATTTGAGTTGATCAAATAAGTAAAATTTACTTAAATATGTACAAGACAGTGCTTTAAGAATGTTACTTTAATTATGACCCAAAACTCTCAAAATGTCATGATCTGAAGGTTGAAATCTAACTAAGTTAAGTTAGTCTGAAAAGTTAGTTTTCACATGTAGAAAATTAGATTGTAATAAAAAGGTAAAAACTGAACAGTCGTCCCTGAAATATCGTCCATTGCGGTTAACCCTGAATTGTTTCATGTCTTCAGAACTAATTTTTGGAATGAAAAAGACAGCTGTGAGGGTAACCACATTTTATAAAAAAGACAGCTGTGAGGGTAACCACATTTTATAAAAAAGACAGCTGCCATATTTTATAAAAAGACAGCTGTGAGGGTAACTACATTTTATAAAAAAAGACAGCTGTGAGGGTAACCACATTTTATAAAAAAGACAGCTGTGAGGGTAACCACATTTTATAAAAAAGACAGCTGTGAGGGTAACCACATTTTATAAAAAAGACAGCTGTGAGGGTAACCAAATTTTATAAAAAAAAACTCTTAAAAGTTTGACTTTTTACTACACGTCTTTGTTATTTATTGCCTGTCAAAAATTATGCTATAATGTGCTTGCATAAAGAAAGGAAATTTACATTTCTGTGGTACAACAAATATGTATACTTTTCTTAGCTTAGGATTGCAGGGAGGCCTGACGGGTGGGTACCTGGAGAATTGCAGGGAGGGGTGGGTACCTAGATTATTGCAGGGAGGGGTGGGTACCTAGAGAATTGCAGGGAGGGGTGGGTACCTGGAGGATTGCTAGAAAGGTTGGGTACTTGGTAGTGCAGTTGTGTTATTGGGGAGGCATAAAAAATTAAGAGATACATTTTTATACTTATTTTTATTATTTGAAGAAAAAAAATCTGAAAACTAATTTAAATTAAAAATAACTGAAACGGTGGAAATTTTAGAAAATAAAATCCCCTGTTTTATTAGGGGTACAATACCAGGAACCGCTTTTCTATGTTTACATTCATTACTTTCTTTAAATAACTAGAATTAATTCAATAGCAAACACTTATAGTGAACACTTTAGGCCTAATTCAATAAAATAAATATTTACATATTATTTTATTTTCATGTTTGTAAAGGGAGCTGTGGTGGATTTACCGGGGGGGAGGGGCGGAGGGGGTCTAGTTGCTAATGATTTAACAACCAGGTCTCACGTTCAACGAGCGGGGGAAGGCAGGCGGCAATAAGCCACAACATTTTCCCCTTCTATGCCACATATTAGCAATTTTGTCTTCCGAAAGTCATATTCCATAATCGTTAGGTCTTCCATGCCACACCATTTGAGTCTTCCGGCAATTATTAGATTTTCTAATGTTTTGAATTTCTCATATGTAATCAGATAAATTTTATTTCCTTTTACTTGCGCATAAAATTAAATCTATAGGTGCTACGAGTTCACATTTAGTCCTTCTGTCTAGTTCAGAGGTATGACGTACTATCAAAATGGGGAATCAAACCTGTGAGCCCAAAATGTGAACCCCTTTTCACACTTTTAATGAATATTTTTTCTTAATTGCTGTTGGACTTTCTTTATAACTTTGAGTAAACAGGGGTCTTTTTCCGCCATTTTCTACGATTTTTGCAGCAGAGATCAAAATGATTGAAAACTTGTTGAGGTGAACAGAATGTACTTTGTTAGTTTAATGAGCAGAGATGCCTTTAATCTGCACAATATCTTCCATATATTTACATAAGCTAGTACTGAGAGTAGAAATATACTTGCATAAGCTAGTACTGTGAGTAGAAATATACTTACATAAGCTAGTACTGAGAGTAGAAATATACTTGCATAAGCTAGTACTGAGAGTAGAAATATACTTACATAAGCTCGTACTGAGAGTAGAAATATACTTGCATAAGCTAGTACTGAGAGTAGAAATATACTTACATAAGCTAGTACTGAGAGTAGAAATATACTTGCATAACCTAGTACTGAGAGTAGAAATATACTTACATAAGCTAGTACTGAGAGTAGAAATATACTTACATAAGCTAGTACTGAGAGTAGAAATATACTTACATTAGCTAGTACTGAGAGTAGAAATATACTTACATAAGCTAGTACTGAGAGTAGAAATATACTTACATAAGCTAGTACTGAGAGTAGAAATGCGAAACTAAATAGTCCAGCATATCGCCAGGAAGCTTCACGTATGGTGGGAGTTTCAAGCCGTTCCAGCTCATGCTTAGACTTAATAGATAAATAGATAATTTCAAGTGATCCTACATTTTATAGAGTGAGTTGCTTGAGTAAAAACGGTACGCTTTAAGTATATGACAGGTATTGAACGAGTGAGATATCCTTTTCTTTATTGGTAAAAATTGATAATTTTCATGCGTGGTTTCTCTGATAAAGGGACTTGTGGAAATATGCAATTGAGACATAGAAGCAAATTTTCAGAATTAAACAAGATTTAAGGTAGAAAATCGACAATGTTACTCAGACATGGTCTATTGGACAATGCCACTCTTTTTCCTTTTAATAAACGGAGGCTCATTTGAGATTACGTGTATAGTCCCTTTTAGAAATAAATAAATATTTAACAATGAATATTAATAAAAATGCATATTCTTAGTTCTAACGTACTCTTTTCTTGTGCCTATATTCTTACTTAAAGGAAGTGTCCGGCAATGTATGGTGGTTGTACTGAATATTTAGTTTTGTTTCTGCGACGTATATTTGAGCGCAAAGTCAACGGTCAAAATCATGAATATGGATAGATACGTTTTTAGAATCAGTTTTATTTAAATTATTAAATAACGATGACAAAGAAGTAAACAAAACTCTACAATAAACTAATTAGTTGTTTAGGAACAGGTTGAGAAAATAAAAATTAACTCTTATCACCGAAAATAAGTAATCTTATTCAATTATTAGTTTCTATAATCTCTCATTATTCACAAAGATTTTCTGCAGATTTTCTTGAATTTTTATTGAAAACACGACATTTGAAGAATTTTTAGAAATCTGCAAACAAATTCATAGACAACAAGAAATTCAATATAATGATGAAAACGAAATAATTGTATCTAACATTAATTCATTGACAAATTTCTTTTCCTTAACAACTAATTAGTTTACTGTATAATTTTTTAAAAATTTTTTTTCGTCGTCATTATTTAATAATTTAAAAAAAAACCGATTCTGAAAACGTACCCACTACTCACCCAAATTCATGTTTTTGAACGTCGACTTTGCACTCAAACTCAGTAATTATACATCGTGGAAACGTTTTATATCATTATATGTCTACTGCATACTCAGTTCAACCACCATAAATTGTCGCGCCGGTCACTCCTTTAAACATGCACACAACCCTTACGAAGATTATTATTTTGATTTGAATCAAGCACTCTCTCTACACAAAAAGTGTATAATTCTAATTTATAGTGAAATAGAATCCAAAAAACTGTTGTATAAGAAAACGACAATTAAGCATCTTTGTGCGTTGTTGGTGTTTATATAACGAGGCTACAAATAGCTTGAAAATAAACAAGTAACACTGCACACTTGCTGTGATTCATAATCATGGAACTATGCAAGAATGTAATACAAGAAAAGTTATTTGCAGTTGCGTATACTCTGCGTACATATTGAAACCAGTTCTCTCTGGGCGGAATTTGTAAACAAGAATGGATGCCATCAGTGTTCGTTTAGTATCCGAGGAGGTTAAAACCATTGAATTTTGATAATTTTGATAATTCACATAATAGTTTCCTATGACCAGAATATTTCATTGATTATTTATGTGAAAGATGGGTCCCATGTCAGGCTTCGACATCCGTCTTGTGTTTACATTACCGCCCAGAGACAGTACACTGCAGTACAAAAGATGCGTACACCTCTGAAATAACTTTCCTTGCATTAAATCTTTGGAACTATGGAACTTTATATTCTATAGTTTTATGGGTCCCACAATAATTGAATTTATTAACCTTATCCTGAGCCATCTGCTCTTCTTGAAGTATTTTGTATCTTTCAGCCGGGTTCTTCTCTTTCCAGTTCACCTAGCAAAAACATGTTTAACATTGTTTTTTAATTTTAATATTTTTTAAAAAAAATTTACATTTTTTTATTTTAACATTTTTATTTTGTTTACATTTTTGTAAAATAAAATAGTTGATGGTAGACTAAATTTTGCAATGTTGCCTTCTCTCTGCTCAATCGTCTACGTCGTTCAAAAATTTAAATTTTTAAAAATGCTTTAAATAACCCTTAAATCAAGAGGGGAATAGTAGAATACCCGATTCACGCCGGTATCCTTTATAAATAATGAAGGCATATTTTCTCCGTTTCTCAAATTCACAAAGCTTTCAGGAGTATCGTTGTGATTCGGGCAAGCAACTCTATCAATATAAATTAGACAGGATACTTAAACATGAAAGATGGGAGGGAATAATGTTTAATTTTATATTTATTATACTTAAAAATGAAGGATAGATGAGGGGGGAGCCGAGAGGGGGGAGGGGTAATTTTTATATTTATATCTTTATTGGTTCCAAGATACTTACCTCTCTTAACCTTTCACTTGACATAAGTTCTCTGATTTGAGACTCATCCCACATTGTCTTAAAGGTTAAAAATCAATTATATATCATTATTGAGATTAAGTATTTTCATGTTGAAAATAAAGGAATTGTAAATTTCCAAATATTAAACATTCAAACCTAAAAAGTCAAGCAGCTCAAAAAAAATTACATAATTATTTTACAAAATTCTAATTTAAATCATTCTAATGCAATTATAATAAAACTAAAAAATTGAAGAAAAAAAATCGTTACTTTATATGCTTGAGCTCGAACTCTATCTTTCTCTCCCTAAAAAAATGTTAAATCAAAATACAGGATAAAAAATAAAAACGGCTAACTTAATATATAATGAAGAGGTTCAATAAAAGTTAAAAATTATAAAACATATTTAAAATTTTTTGTTCTCTAAAAGATTGTTTTTATTTTTTATTCTATCGTACAAATTGTTTACTTTCATAGAAGATATTATCGTGAAGGGAAGAAAAATCAACCGTTTGTTAACAAATCTTTCCGACATGTATCTTCTGTCGGCCTCCTCAATCCTGTACTTCTAGTGTAAAAAAAACTTTATCCTCTCCTTTTTCTGTGTTTTGTTGTCAATATTGAAGTGCAAAGGTATATTATAGAATTTAACCTTTAAGCTTCAACCCCCCTTATCTATTTACGCCCCTAGCTGTTTTTTATTCTACATAAATTAAAATAATTAACCTGCAGTGTCCATTCTCTGTGATAATTTGGCGGTGGGTCGTGGTGAATAAATCCTAGAAAACAGATACATTATTAAATTAATTCAAGAAATTGTTTATTTTTATTTATTGAGAATTGAAAAGTTCAGAATTGTTTTGTAGAATAGTATTACTAGTCATGAACAACCAATTTAATCAATTCTTCTTATTGAAAACTTGTTATAGAAAAGTCAAATTATTTAATTCTTCTTATTGAAAACCTGTTATAGAAAAGTCAAATTATTTAATTCTTCTTATTGAAAACATGTTAAAGATTTAATTTGTTACAGATAACAAACTAATTTAAAAGCGTTGACTCGGGGTTTAATTCCCTATACCCAGGTAAAAAGACCCAAGTTTTGAATCAGCTGACGACATTTTGTGTCTAGAATTAATCTCAATATCTTTTTCAAATCCAAAAAACCGCCAATTTAAACCATGAAAATCCGCCAAATTCTATTTAAACCTGTTTAATAACCCAAGAATTACAACTTATTTTAAAGTTCGAGTCTTAAATTAGTCTCACTGACGGCTTAGTCTTGAGTCTTATTTCCCCGAAATTTTTAAATAGCAGACTCGGTCACTAAAAGAGTAAAAAGGGAAAATTCTAGAAAACCCCACATTTTTACCTATTTTATTGTTGTATTCTTCCCTCTTTTGGTCGTCTATAAGTATCTTGTAAGCATCTTTTATCTTCATAAACTTCTCTTTATTCTCCTCTACAAGATAACCATCAAACCAGAACTGGGGACTACTTTTTTACAGTACAAGTTAAACTTATTCAAGGTAAGATAAATTCTTCTTTCATTAGTCAAATTTCTAGTTTTTCATACCCTTTCATTTAAAGAGTCAAATGTCTTATTTAAAACGGTACCCTTCCTTTATTCGTTTATTTATGCCAAAGCGACAGAATATACTTCCTTAAAATTTATAGTCTCCGTTAAATATTTCCATCCAATTTGGCTTGAGCATTTTTACTACTGGAAAACCAAGGAGAAATTGTCCGAATTAAACACTTTTCTAACTAGAAAGAGAAATATTGAGCAGATAAAGGTTTCAAGGGTTTTGTTCTGAATTGAGCAGAGATAAAGGTTTCAAGGGTTCTGTTCTGAATTGAGCAGATAAAGGTTTCAAGGGTTCTGTTCTGAATTGAGCAGATAAAGGTTTCAAGGGTTCTGTTCTGAATTGAGCAGATAAAGGTTTCAAGGGTTCTGTTCTGAATTGAGCAGANGAGGGGGGGGGGGCTGTTTAAGATAATGCAAAATTATTTTTGGGTTAAACTCCCTGAATCTCTGTTTAAATCTGGATGATACAGCATGGATAATCTCAACCAACTCTCTCTTATTTCAGTCTGAACAACAGTTTGAAGAGATTAAAAATTAGGTGTTGATGGTGATCAACACCTAATTAGTGAATAATATAGGGTAGAGTTCCAAATTCTTTTGAAAATATCAATCAAAATTTTAATAACTATCAAATCAATCTAAATATATAATTTGCTTGTCTGCTTGTTTGTCTGTCTGTCCAATAAACGTCAAAATCGTTGAACTTGTCGGGCCCAAATTTTGTTTGGGACCTCACGTGGCCCAAGGGAAGGTTTATGAATGATCAAAATGTAAAAAACTTGCCTCCAACAAAATTCGATTATCATTAAATTTTTGAAAATTTTGAAAATCCACAACTTTTTTGTTTTGTTTTACAATGTACACAAAGAGAATGGAATTATGTAATTCGACTGTATTAGAGCTCAAAGAAACTAAATCTGCAAAACTGTTTTAAAGAAAAATCTTCAAAAACTATTTAGATAGTTATGCAAGTTATATCTGTAAAAAAATCACTATTTTTCATGTGGATAAACTTAGTCTTTGATACCTTCTTCACCCTGTAATTCATAACATGATTCTAATAATATATGTTACCCTTTGTTACAACCCTTCCGCTGAGTACCCACCCCTTCATTATACTTTATCATCATTGTTTAGTTTAAAATGTACACCGTACAATGTACATCCATCTATTTATTTACAATTCTTATTCGCTTATAATGGGCCAACCAATCAAAACAACCAACTCTGGTTAGGCGGATCCAAACTACATAGTAAATTGTGATTTTTTATTTGTAATATCTCGTGCTTAAAATACATTACCTTTGTACAGTAGGGTTCTATTTCCATTAAATCATACAAAGTTTCAAAATCTTTCAAACTGAATACAGGAGTACAATTATAGCACTCTTTTAAAGTACTTTCTTTAATCTTAATAATGGGCGATGCGCGCAAGCAATTTTCAGTAAAATAACAGTTTCGTAAAATAATAAAAAAACACGATAAAATTTGGGTAATCAATAGAGGTTGCACCTGCATTACCAAATGGCTCTGTTTTTATTCTGTTATTGTACATTTATATATTTTTAGAGAAGGAAATATAGAATCGGAAAAGCTTAAAAGGAGGACAGACATCCCTAGTTGTGCCTCTAAAAAATGGGTTAAATTAAGAATTAAAATAGTTTTTTTTTAAGAATGAATATTAAAATAAGATAAAAAAAATATCCAGCCGCCATGTTGAAAATCCTGCCTCGTGGCGAAACATCTTCTAATAAGAAGTTGCGGCATTCTGTGCAACAAACTTGCTCGGATCATTCTTCTGAAAATAAACATTTCAAAGAAATTATCATTATTTCTGGGAAATCATAATTATAAAAATTAAGTAACTAAGCGGAATTTTTTAATATATTAAATCCTGAATTTCTTGGGAAGATTTTGGACATTCTTTAGATAAAACTTCACAGCCTAACAAATAACAAGTTGAAAACATTATTCCAGGGTTTTATCTAAGATCAATATGAGTGCACATTGTACACCCGGCTTATTCCAAAAATACCAATTCTGGGTTGAGTAAGTCTAAAATTGATCATTGGGGCCCGAACGCTGTGGTTAAACAACTGTGTTAAGATATTTTGTTTTAACGTCTGTTAGTCTGTAATCTGTACCATAGAAATTAATAAAGGAAAAAAACTATTTAAAATTCTGTATTATAATAATAAATTATGGGTTCAAGGACCAAATTAAATGAAAAGTGAGACATGGTTGAACTGCGTAGACGTGGTTCAAATGGCAAAATAAGTGATTCAGCTTCTTTTTGCTGTTTATCAAAATGCGCCTCCCTCCGATTTTTTACTACGTCTAAATTTTCAACTTTCCTGTCTGATTTATCAAAATATTATCTTCTATTCTAATCCCTATTCCCCGGAATTCCTCAGGTACACTGATTTAGTAACAACAATAACAATTTTAAAGAAAACAAGAGAAACAAATTTGAATCTATAATCCATGTACTCTATTCACCACATAGTAATTGCATTCATTTCTTATTTATCTTAATCAGTTTAAGAATGAATAAATGACCAGTTTCTAATAAAAATAATGAACGCGTCATTGTTATCTTACTGCCCTTTCTCTATTAAAAAGTGACAAGCACGTTTATGCTGCAAAATTGCAAAGAAAAAAAGGAATTTTGAATTTGACTAAAATTAATTGTATAGTATGTAATCTTGAAAAACATTTTTTGTACAGTTAATGATCTGCCAAAGTGAAAATTATTTCTTGACTTTTAATGTTTAAGTTTTCATTCCCCCCCCCCCCTAAAAATTCTACACCCTTGTCCACCCTGTTATTGTAGTTTCCTTGTATTAGAAGAAGGGATGTATATTCCAGGCTCTACAGTAATCACATTTCCAGGAAGTAAAGGTTGACCCTTGTTAACACTCCCACAATCATGTACATCCATACCCTAGGCAGCAGACTGTAAAGTATCATATTATTGGTGTTCACACTCCCACTATCATGTACATCCATACCCTAGGCAGCAGACTGTAAAGTATCATATTATTAGTGTTCACACTCCCACTATTATCATGTACATCCATACCCTAGGTAGCAGAGTGTAAAGTATCATATTATTGGTGTTCACACTCCCACAATCATATACATCCATACCCTAGGCAGCAGACTGTAAAGTATCATATTATTAGTGTTATTAGTGTTCACACTCCCACAATCATGTACATCCATACCCTAGACAGTAGAGTGCAAAGTATTATTAATAACATTATCATTATTATTTTCATTTACTTTATTGTTGTTATTACTGTTGTTATTAGAGTTCAGTTCACAGTTCACACTCTCACAATCATATATGTTATATGTTCCCTTAGTGAGTAACAGAAATGCAAAATTTAAATGTGGATTGAGGAGAAAAGGATTTTAATTTTTTTTTCCATAAATTGCAATTGCTATATCTTATCTCTGATTTAATGTAAAATAAGAATTAAGTTATCAATTCTAAAGGTTATTTGAGCATTATCTAAACAAAAAAGGTTGTAAAATCTACAAAAAGGTTTATTTGATAAAGTTTTTGTTGTCGTGGTGGTGTGTGGGGGGGGGAGGACCTTAAAGATTTGCGAGGAAAGTAATAGCCAAAAATATTTACCTTCACAATTTCTCCGGAAAAAAATACCATCCTGTTTTACTGGGTTATAAACTAATTTCTGGAAGAATGGGGGAAGGGGCGCAATGATATTAAAAAATATATATATACCCCTTGTATAATTATAAGTTACCAGATGATGACCAACATTGTGAGGACAGAACTGATATGCCATTCTAATCGCCATTTTATCATCATGTTCACCCGATATTAGTCCAGCTTCACGAAGGTTCTAAACCATTCAGCAATTTTTTTTGTGGCAACCTTTTCTCATGATCCATTTTCTGTGGATTTGTCTTGTAACAAAAGTCAAAAATGTCCTCTTATGTTAGTTATTATGTAGAAACTTGATTTACCGTTGAAATCTGTCTTGTAATATGGCACAAAACTTGGAACTTTTTAGCAAAACAATGAAAAGGACTTCTACATACATGACTTCAAATGTCTTTTGTGTGCTGTTTTAAAACCTTTTTCCCAAAAAAGTCAATACTTGCAATATATTTTTGGTATAATGCAAAAATTTAAAAAAGAAAATAAATAAATTAAATTGTACTAAATTAATTATTTTTCAATAATAAAATTACATAAATACCCAGATACTCTGTGACTGTGAACTCAAAAATTTTGAATCTATCAAATAAATATACGAGTACAAGTTGCTCAATTCCTTTGCTAAAATAATTTGCATTGCTGAGTATAATTGCTGTATTGAGGTTTGGTTTGGTTGGATGGATTGTATCAGCTGTTCTTGGCAGTCAAGGACCACGTGGTAGAGAGTCAGCTGTGCATCAGTAAATTTTCCTTTTCCCGCCAAAATCAAAATTTGTAAAACTAATATATCTATTTACTGGGACATTTAAAATGGTAATTGTGGAGAATTTTTCGTCTTTAATCGTCGTCGTATATATCAATTCAATAGAAACATTAAATTTCAATTTTGATTTTAACTTTAAAACAGCATTAAAATAGAAACAAAGAGAAGCTGTCAATCAGCAGCTTCTTTTAGTTTACTAGTAAACTTGTAATTTAAAAAATGATTGTTATATCCAAACTTGAATAGAAAACTTGTCTTTATTGTATTCATAAAAACGCCGACCACTGTAGCTAACCAACAAAAACAGGTATGCAATGAAATTCAGTTTTTTCCGTACATTTGAATTTGTCAAAAAAATAGTCACTATCAAAAACTATTATCAATTTGTATGGATATTATAAGGAAATTTCAAGTGCCACTCCTAGAGCAAAGATGACAATGTCAGATTTACAACGGTACTCTTGAAAGCTTTTTTTCAATCAAGTATGAATTAGATTTCAATGTTTTTGTTTCTTTAAACTGTTTATTTTCATTTGCGGTTTCTCTGCGAAAGCAACTTAGTGCTTATAAATAACGATGGAGAAAACACTAATTCAGAAAAACGACGTTTTTTTCCCATATTTTTTACCAGTTTAAAGTTTTAAGGGTACCGTTGTAATTCGGGAATTGCCATCTTTAAATTACTCTTATATTACAGTCCTTTGGACTATCAAATAGCTTAGCATTGATTTTGCCTGAAACTGGCCAGGTTCTTGTGATATCACTGGCATATCCATGATATTCACAACCAGCATCCATCAGCATCATATCTCCAGTCTCCACAGATTGACAGGCATCAATGTAGTGAATTGTTGTTGCATTGTTGCCTAAATTCAACATGTAGTAATATCTGATTTAGTGTGCAATGGGCATTGGACATTGGATATATAACTGTAGACTTCAGATCTCCTACTTCCTATCTGAAAACTCCAGTTCTCATACTCTCTATCTGTAAAACCCAGTTCTCTTACTTTCTATCTGTAAACTCCAGTTCTCATACTTTTTATCAGTAAACTGTTAAACCTTAGGTCTAATTAAATGATACGTGGTGGGGGTTGAAAAATGTTTATTGGTAAAAACTTGTTACGGAATATATAGGAGCGTTTTTACTGTGTAGTTAGTTTCTGTGGGGGAATTTGGGGAGCTTCTCAACTGCTGGAATTGATGAGTCTTCAGAACACGTAGCAGTCTGGAGCAGAACTGTAGAATGCTGCTTCTGTAGGGAACTTCTTTAAGCTGTAGGTGTAGATGAACCTTTAGAGCTGGAGCAGAACCGTAGAAGGCTGCTTCTGAAGGGAGCTGCTAGAAGCTGCAGGTGTAGACGAACTTTCTGGTTCAGAGTTCCCATATACAGAAATAATTGATTCCAACCATGATCTGACATTCTTTGTTAAAAATACGCACTTTGAACTCCATTACAAAACATAAGCTCTCCTAATTTCTATCTATAAACTCCAGTTCTCACACTTTCTATCTGTAATTTTACAGGCATATTGGTATAAATAATAAGATGAAAATTTTTTAACGGGTATTCAGGTCATTTATTCAATTCTATTTTAGTTGTATCTATCATCCCTTGATGTTTTATTTCATATCATAAATTTCCTTAGGGGGGGGCCGCCCGCCGCCCCCCCCCATTCTGGAGGGGCCAGGCCCCCCTGGTAACTATAAGTGGACTAATTACCAGATAATCAAAAAAATTATACGATATAGAATGAGAATAGGAAAATGGATTTAGAAATTAGATTATTACTAATGTTTTTCTAATAATCAAATTTGTTGTGTAGTTCTCAATAATGTAATAGTTTTAAGATTGACAGACACTCCAAATAATAAAGATAGATTAATACAAATTTTTTTCAATTTTATCACGTTCAATGTCGTCTTTGTTAAACGGACTGCCAACGTCATTGCATGCCCAACACCTAGTAGTACCCTCTCAAACTTTCTCTGGGAAACTGATAAGAGTTTCTCTGATGGATAATTTTCAAATACGGTTCTTTGTAAAAGTTACTTGCGGTTTTGTACAGAAGACAGGAAAGGATATGGCGAGGATGTTTTTTTTAAAAATTTTATGGTTGTTCCCACGCAACCCCACCCCGCTATACCTACTGGGGGATAGGCAAGATAGCTGGCTCCAAGTGTTCCCCCCCCCGTTATACCTGCGGCAACTACTGGGGGATAGGCAAGATAGCTGGCTCCACGGGNCAAAACCATTCATTTTAGACTCAAACTCAACTCTAGCTTGAAATTCAAGTTCTGTTTTCATAGTTTGTGACTTCGATATTGTCTTTCGGAGAGCTAAAAACAAATAAATATATATTATACAGAAAATTAATAAATTTTTTACAAGAAAATTTTACAAGCTTACCTTGGGCTCCTATTTGACATGTTGTACGCATAAGATTTATTTCAGCTGGGGACTTAATACTGCGCAACTCGTGCAAAACAGGCCTAAAAACTTATTATGCAACAAATTCAAATATGACAATTTAAACCATTCAAAAATTTCTCTATATGCAATAATCATTGGGCCAGGAAATACATTTATTTGAATTTGAAAAATACTTTCGAATTTCGATTGATAATCGGCAAAGCTTTAAGAGACCTATGTCGATTCACAACAGTACCTTTATCTGATAAATACCGAGAAAAAGAATGTCTTTTTTCCGTATATTCAAAAAGGTAAATGCTTTACTGTAAGGTAATATTTTATTATGAAAAATATATTACCTAAGAGCCTCAACGGTTAACGACGGGTGTCGTTTTTTAGCGTTTAAGATAAATGAATTAATCAATTGATGAGATTCTGCATCCCGAGGATCCATCAGATCATACCTTAATATTTTTATATTTAAAATTTTTTTTCATATTTTTTATATATTTTAGAAACTGACTTTTTGAATTGATTTTAATATGTTCAAAATTCATTTATTAGTTCCCAACTCTATGTCAGGGGTCCTTAAAATTCCATTTCTGATCCCAAATGGGATCGGGGTTGAAAGTACATTTAGGGGGTTGAAAGTACACTTTATATGTCATTGTGAACTTTGAAAAGTTTTTGTGTAAGTGTACTACACTTCAGAAATGTGTACTGCTTTGGGGTGTTAAAAGATGTAATTATTAGCATTAAAATAAAAGAGATAAATTATGATATACAGAAAAATAAACACTCCCTTGCAGTAAACATTCTGCAGTATGGAATTTTTTCTACAACTTGACATTATACTTCCAATTGTTTACAATAACAACATGGTTTATTTCTGCCCCTAATATCAATCAATCAACATTTGGGATGGATCAGATGGAATTATACGGACCCCTGCAGTCTATGTATGTATTTTCTTGAGAAAACAATCATACTTTAGAGTTAAAAAAATATATTTAAAAAAATGTCACTTACTGTCAACTATATCGTGATATTTTCTTCAAAAAGTTATGTAAATTGTATTTTATAAACATATGAAAAAACCTAATGCAGGGTTACACAAGGATGAGACTTTTTAGTTTTATACTATCTATTTCTCTTTATTAATGGCTTACTACAATTGTTAACTTGTTTTTTCTTTACCAAATCATTAAACAAGCTATTAAAATACTATATTAAAGGCACAAGACTTGATTTAAACTTGGGTTCGTAATCGTCATATTCTAAGTGTTTCGGTCGTCTTTGCAGTCTCATCCTTTGTAGCTAACCCTGTACTACATTCAATCTATTTCAAATATGTCTTAAAAATAATCATGTAAATAATGTTTAAAAAAGACTGCATTGTAAAATAAAAATATTTTTGATTCTTTTCAAAAAAAAATTTAATTGATTTTTTTTTTGGGGGGGGGGGAATTCAGACGAAAGTTTATTATCTAAATAAGTCTAAAATGATTACCAGAGCGTAAATGCTTCTTTCTCTGAAGAATATCTTACAAATTATCCGTTACTTATAATACAATTACATTTAACGAGGTAATGAGGACAAAATTTTAATACAATACATACGTGAAACGCATTTTCATGAAATGAAATAATTAAAAAATGTTTGATTAAAATTAAGAAGTCAATAAATTTTTAACTGCAGACTTGCTAAAATCTTGAAAATGAAAATACGAAAATAAAAAAATAAATGTAGCAATTATGTGAAAATTATAGGGGTTTATGTGTGATCTAAAAACTCTTAACGTTTCTTCTGGTAAGCATCAACAAGATAGAAAAAATAATTTCTTTAAACTGGATTAAAAAAAATTCTCGCAAAAAAAAGTAAGAATGAAAATTAAATTACTGTTTCCTAGTTTACTAGACTTGCTTAGGTTCCAACACCAGTTGAAAAAAATAAATAAGAAAAGAACAATTCCGTCTCCAAACTAGCTGTAATGGATTTCAAATTTTTTTAATAAATCCGAATTTTAATTTCTCAGTATGGAATGAAAAACCATTAAAAGACTTGATGACGTTAGTAATGGATTCCTATGAATATATTCACTAAAAGATTTATTCGCCACCACCTCATCAACACAAAAGAACTCTTTTGCTTCTCTAAAATAATAATGCATCAAAATTCCTTCTCAAATACTTCTCTCCCCCTTCTCCTACATTAACAGGATTTAATCTCCATATTTTTACAGAAATCATGAATTACTCTCCGTCCTTCTACATTTAACAGGATTTAATCTCTCTATTTTTTCAGAAATCATTAATTACTCCCTTTATTCAACAGAAATCATAAATTACTCCCCTTCCTCCCACAGAAATCGTGAATTACCCCCCCCTCCTCTTACAGAAATCATGAATTACTCCCCCTCCTTCTGCAGAAATCATGAATTACTCCTCCTCTTCCTATAGAAATCATGAATTACTTTAAAACCTCTTTCTAAAGAAATTTTGAATTACGTCACCTCTTCCTACAGAAATCACGAATTACTCCCCTGCCTCCTACATACATCATGAATACTCCCCTGCGTCCTACATACATCATGAATACTCCCCTGCCTCCTACAAGAATCATGAATACTCCCCTGCCTCCTACATAAATCATGAATACTCTCTTGCCTCTTACGTAAATCATGAATGCTCCCCCTCTATTTACCTAAAACCGAACCGAGTTCCTTCCCACTTCTCCTCATAGGCAGTATTCTCCTTTATTGTTCATAATTTGTAAGCCAATCAATCAATCAATTATTAAGTTAAACATTTAATCAATCAATCAAAGAATCATTTGTGATTAAACCAATCAATCGACAATTAACATATTCAGTCAATCAACAAATCATTTAACCAATCGATCAATCAATCGGTCGACTGTTAAATGTATCATTAACCAATAATCAATAAAACAATCTACTAATCATTAATTTAGAAAAACCTAATCTTACTCCAATATATATCTCAATTCGATCATTAATGAATCTAAGAGTACTCTTTTAATCAGTAATTAGTAAATAATTACCGTCAATTCGTTATAATTTTCAGAAGTAATCAATCAAATCTAAATCGTATTTGATCAAACTAATTATTGCTTGTTACCTTCATAAAAAGCGTTGATTTAGATTTTTCTCCAGAAAACTCAATAACTAAGGAAAAAAAGGGTTACCACGTTAAAAAAAAACTCCTACTAATTACACTTCAGAGACAGGAAATGGCTCTGAAGAAACCGAAAATGGCTCTTAGAGACCGGAAATGACTCTTAAGAGACCGGAAATTGCTCTCAAGAGAATGGAAATGGTTCTCAAGAGAATGGAAATGGCTCTCAAGGGACCCAAAATGTCTCTACTTTCCTTTGATTAAGGGTGGATTATTTCATTAGGTCTGACTTAATTTTCTAGCTAAGACAAGCAATCACCAAAAAAAAAATTTTTTTACTTTTAAAATTTTAAAATATCTTCCAATAAGTGTCTTAAAGATTGTTTAGAATTTATAAATAAAATTGTAGAGGAAAATAAACTGGATACTCAATAATCATTGTTCAACAATTTTTCCGACATTAAAATTATAAAATTATCATGTTTTCTTTTATTTTAGAAAATAAAAAAGAACCTTTTTATCGTCTTCCTTAATGAATAACAAAAGTGTAAATAGTACATATGACTGAAATTTATAAAGATTTTCAGAATGCTATTAATTAAAAAAAATTTTTGATTTTTATCTTACCTAGACTGCATTCAGGTTGTAAGCATCCCGTGAGGTATCTTTTTTATTACAAACTTACGAAGAAAATTTATCTTTAAAGGGATTGTACTTTCAATTTCAAGTGACTCTATATTTGTGGTGAAGTATGTCCATTTGTCCACTTCAAAACATTATCCTAAGATAAGAACGACTGAGATATCATTATTTTTCAGGCTAAATAAATTACTTTCAAGGTTCTCAAGGCGTGACTTCCATATTTATGAAGCAGAGACAATTTGTAGAATTTTTAAAAGAAATCAACCCTTTAAAAACGTAAATTGTTAAATTTTTCTCAGATAAAAATTTAGTGTATCGTTGTCATTTGAACATAACTCTTTTTTTCAAATTGAGAGTATTTTTACCTGGTAATAATAAAAACTATTATTAATTTACATTTTCTATTCAGAAAACCGACTTCCACTGCAATTTGAGGCCCGTGAAAAATCCTTTGGTTAAGTTCTCTTTACAGAAACATTCGATAGAATTAAAGTAGCATCCATCGGGTTTTGTTTATTTATGGTTCATTTTTAACTTCATTTTATTTTTTTCTTGATACCTTTTATTAAAAATTTGTTTAAATTGTTGTTCTTAAAAATATTTTTAAAAAGTCAATTTGTTTGTAATGAAACCTGAAATCTGTGTCTTGCCTTAAAAAATGTTCTTGATTTAATTTTTTAAAAAAATTAATTATTCTACAAGTTAAGATTTTTAAATTTTTAAGATCGAGTTTGGAACTTTTATGTTAAGTTTCATTAATCTTAAACGCTTGCTGACACTTTTAAATACAAGGATTAAGAGGATTAAGGCTCATCTCAATTAAGGATCATCTCAATTAAACAGATTTAGAAGAAAAATTAAATTAATCCGTAGATTTGCTGAATGTTTGATCTCAAGATTTACAACAGTTCTGAGTTCAGTTTTAATTCGATGCATCTTGTTTAATACAAAAAAAAATAATTCTTTTGATTTGAATATGAACAAATTTCAAAGATAAGATGAAAAATCAAGAAAACCTGAAGAAATAAGGAATATGATCTACCATAAACTGCTTTCTAAAAAGAAAAATTAATGCTAAAAAATAACAAGATTCGTATTTTTAAAAATTTTCAAGAACAATTATTTTATCTTTAAGCTTTTTTTAATATACGTTGTAACCCCACCCCCCTCAAAAAGTTCTCAAAATTAAGCATTTTCCGTTTAAATAAATCATATTTTCTAGAATTCTGCATTAGTTAGCAAAAATCTACGTTAGATCAGCATAAATTAAGATATTTTTGCAAACAATTTTTTTCTGATAAGCTAAAGGCAGATTCTTGTTTAAATAACAAGATTTTCAAATCTAAATTAAAAAGTAGAAAACTTGTTAAGAAGTCCAGCCTACCTGGCAGAGGGTAGGATAATGAGATGACGGTTAGAAGTAGTAACTCCTCCTGATTTTAATATACTCTCAACTAGAATAAAATCCAATAAAAAGACTAATTTTCAACTACAAATAAATTAAAGTGGAAGGAATCTTAACGAACCCACCCTCCACCCCTTTTAAGAAATGTTGTTTTTTAATTTGTATACAAATTGACCTTGACAAAATTATCCGATTTCTCACCTAGTTTATCTCTTCGAGAAGTAAATTCTGACTGAGAAATTCCAACATTAACTTCGTTCTCCTGAATAAACAAACATAAGGTCGTCTTCTTCATAGAAATGGGAATGCAGGAATCAAAATACATAAATCTTCAAAACTCTGAAATTAACAAAAAATTAGAGCTTAAACAAAATCGCATTTCTTCTTGAAACTCTTATTGATCAACTTTTTGCAACAAAAAATATCAAATCATACGTTCAAAACCTTTTAACCAAAAAATCTTACTGAGGAATTAATTAATGTTTGAGGGAGGGGGAAATGACAGAGGAATTATGTTTCATTTTTAGTCGTGAGGGAAGGATTTCTCGTCCGAGCCACATTCTTCTTCTTTTCTCGTTCGAGCCACCTTGTAATCCTTCGTAATTTATCTTCAAGAATTGTACATTCTAAAACAAATAATATAAGGCCAAGGATTTCGAGGTGGCTCGGACGAAAAAATGGGAAAAATGTGGCTAGGACGATAAATTGTTGTGGCTGGTTTTCATCCCATTAATTTTAAATAATTAAACTTAAATCCTTTAATTTAAAAGTGTACACTGTACAGTGTACACAGAGGATATCAAGTTGAATCGGTGTAACTGTACAGTGTACACCAAGGATATCAAGTTGAATCAGTGTACACTGTACAGTGTACAACGAGGATATCAAGTTTAATCGGTGTAACTCGGAGTTAATCAAACTAAAATTATTAGCCTCGAACAAACAATATTTTTTGGATGATTAAATCTACCTTTAACAAATACGGATGGGTCCAAGGTGTCGGCTGCCCATACTTCTGTAATCAAATCATTGAAGATAATTTTAAAAATTTAAATAAATAAAATATTCAATTATTTTTTACATCTTTTGAATCTTTACATTAGTCTTGAACCATAAATCAAATCAATAAAGAGAAGATTGCGAAATTTCATTTTTATTTTTTTTAAATGAGGGAAGGTCACGCTAGTACTTCTTACAATTTCACAGTTCCTTAATTATATGAACAAGTAATCTTAAGGAAAAACTAATTTTTTCATTTTAGCTTTTGTGAATCAATTATATTATTCTTTAAAAGAATGGTTCGCAATACTAGAAGCATTAAAGAAAGCAATTGTTTCCCTATTACGTTTGGTTCTAAACTGGTAAAAATTCTATTTTTCAAAAACCATTTTTTTTAAAGTAAGTAAGTAATTATATATTCATGAAATATAACAAAATCATACAAAATTAATTGTTTCAAGAGAAAATATTTAAAAACCTACAAATAGAGGTTGTGGGAATATTTCTCCCCCCCCCTCACCAATATAAAAAAGGAAAAGGAAAGGAAACTTACATATTTATTGTTTACATTACATCTAATATAACAAGTGATGGATTGTTAGTATTTTTGACGATGAACCAACAACTTTTAGAAATAATAAAAATAGATTTAATCTTAAATTTTAAAAAAGAAAATAATTTTAAATTAATTTCCTGAGTGGGTGCTTCTTGAGAAAAAAACCTGCAAGGCCTGAAAAAAAAATTCAAAACAAAAAAATTATGTTTAGAAATATCATTTTTTATCATATCGTCCGAGCTAACATCAACTTTATCTAATAATAATAATGATTTTAATTTATTTACACTATATGAGGTTTAGATCATCATTCATCATCAACGCCAAACTTAAAAATAAAACTTTTCCAAAGAATAATGACAAGATAAAAATTAAATTCATTGTTTTTATTTATCAACAAATTCCGCGAAATCCTTTTTTCCTTTCCTAAATTAAACACTCCGTTTGTGAAAAATGTTAGGGGGTATATGGGCTTAAGGCGAAAAATTATCGATGGTGATCGCTGCTATTCTTATTATTTTACTTATATCTGTTGCGTCTATAATGAAAACATTAATTAAAAAGACCTAAATCGAAAAACGTAGCGTCCACACAAATTCAGAAAGTTGCAACATTCGACTCGGATCGTAAAAAATCAATTTAATTTCTAACAAATCATTCAGATATTACAACCTATATTCATCGAAAATTTTTCGACGCATTCGTATATAGTTGATATTTCATAATAATTTTTAATTGTTTCATAAACGATTACGATGTATTTTAAACGATTTTTTGTCGCTAGATGTCGTTGGAGTCTATTTTACGTGGAATTCCAGAAGCATTGATAGCAGAGACACCTAGCGGTCAAATAAAAATCATTTTAAATATAATGTATATGAAACGAGTAAAAATAGTAAATACTAAAATATAAACTTTGTACGATTGCGCCAGAAAAATTGTCGATGAGGGCCACGCGCTTCAGTTAAAAAGGCAAAGATTTTTATTATTTCAACTTTAAACCATATTAAACTTTATTTTGAACTTGCAATTTTATTTATGGCAAACTTACTATGGCTCCATACATTTAAAGTTACTTGAGACGCAATTTTAAGTAACCATCTATTCATGAGCTTTACGCTCAATTCACAACCGAACCCTTTTCATCTGTATCTGAGCAGCAGCGGAGGATAATTTCATTTTCCATTGAAGTGTTGAATTCAGTAAATTATGTTCTTGGTCTCAAATTTACTAAATCAAAAATTTTAAATTGAATTTTTTTAGAAGAAAAACTATTATTTGTGTTGAAGACGATAGGTTAAAGGGTTCGTTTTGAATCGGCCATGTCACTGTTTAATAGAGAGTGACTTGAAATTAAGTATTTTCTCTCTATTATTAACACTGTAACACTGTAAACTCTAAAAACCTACCAGATCCTGGTTCCTAATCGATATTTCAGTAGCTTGTGCATTTTAATTCATCTGAAACAATTTCTTTATTTATTACATTTGAACAGTAAAGAAATGTTTGGGTGATCAAGTAAGCAAAAAAAATGAATTTTGACTCCTCCTACTCTCTCCAACAAACAAAACGATTATTTGCCTAGTAATTAAATTAAACATTTGGTAACCAGCATTATTAATCTTTCTGATAAGTTTTGCCTTTTGAAAAAAATCCAAAAATTTTAGAGGATTTTTCAGGATTTTTTTTAATTTCGCAGATGGAGGGCGGGTCTGACAAAAACTAAATTGATTAAATCTAAAAATATAAAAGTCAAGTTTACAAGATTTATTAAATAACGGAAGAGCGTGGTGGAATGTCGTCAAAAACATAAAAACAATAATAAATTATAAATAATAATAATTAATAGATTACAATTAGTAAGATGAGACTGGTAATTATAGTTGTGAATGGTCATGATAAAGAGGAAAATCTGAAAAATGGAATCTTAAAACATACAAGGAAATCCAAGTTTTCGAAAAGATACTTTAAAGTAAAAATCTAAAGAAATAGTAGTACGTAGGATATCGAAATTGAACAATTATAATTAAAAAGGAAATGGGTTTCTTTTGCACTTAAAACTCTAAACAAAGTCTGTTGAAAAAAAAGTAGTACAGATTATTATAGCAATGTTTAAAAAATATGCAAAAGATAATTTCCAATAATTACACTCATTATTTTCCCCCCGTCACTTTAGTCTACCACATAAAATACTTTTCTTTTTGTCACACAAAACCATTCATTTCTCCAATAGGTTAAAACAACAGTCCGATCTGTGAGTTTAGGATTCCGTTTTCAGATTTTCGAGATAAAAAGTACTAAAAATTCATAATCTTATGAATACAATTAAACATTTTTGACTAAGAGTAAGACAAGGATTCTAAATCACTTAAATAATGACAATTACAAAATAGGGTTCTACAATTTACAATACATAGCTGCAAACTTGTATAAATTCAAAATTTTCTTGTTTTTCCTACAATTAAATGATAAATATTAATATTAAAACCTAGTCAATCGAGTTCACAGGTTTCTTTCTCTCCTAAAAATTCAATTTAAGTCAGGTTAAACAAATTTAAAAAAAGGTTTCAGGATTTAATATTTATAAAAGTAGCTGTAAAACGAGGATTGATTTTCTTATAAAAACAGTTAAATATGGTTAATATGATTGAAAAATTGATTGATTGATTGATTATTAATGTTAACAATCAATCAATATAAATGGGTTTTGTGCACGTCTCATTATGCTTTGAAGGCAGAGGAGGAGCTAGAGAAAATGTTAAGATATGAAGCATCCAAAAATCTAGTTAGTAAGGCATCCATTTTATTAACTATTTAACTAAGAGATCAAATTTAAAATGGCGTCGTATTAAATTAGTTTTTATTTCGCGGAGAGTTGCCTAGAGAGGGACTGAAGACGTTTGTAAATTAGAATTTACGATTCACCACGGTACCTTGAACCTTTCTCACAGCAAGGATGTCGTAGATATAAATTTCCATCAATTTGAAAAAAAATATATACGTAAACCAGGATCAAAAAAATGTTCAAAATGTACCGTTGTAAATCGGCCATTCTATAAATTGAGGGTCTACAGTCCCTTTAAACAAATATGTCGGCTAGCTGATATTTTGAAAAAGATAAATCTTTTCTAATACTGATATGTTTAATTTTTATACATTTGTTATATAAGATTCATAATCCAAAAGAATGACAAAAAACTTAAAATTCCTAAATTTACGTTCAAAAGCTAAAAGACTTATGATGATTTGTTTGTTCACTACAACAAAATAACATGTACATTGTACGTACTGTAAAATAGCGCAAATTCAGGTTCTATATTCTACATCTACAAGGCATTAAAGATATGCAATCGTTCCATGCAATAAAGATTTTAAAGAAAAAAACAATAATTATTTAACCTACAACTCTAAATCTGAACTAACAAGTAACGATTGTATTGCAGTTATGCACAATTTCGTACATAATTATGCAGTGAGATCACTGTGCTCTAAGAAAATTGTAAATTTTTAACATTATTCTTGGTTAGACGCTTGGTGCCTTTGGTTAGAAATTAAACAAATAAAATTATAAATAAATAAAACTTTTTTTTGATTTCAACTTTTCAGATCAAGTTTAGAAATTACTTGTTAATAACTACATTAATACGTTATACAAATAAAACTGGTTAAATCAAAATATTATTTTGATGGTTCAGTCGCAAGAAAAAAGGTTTAGTCTTCAATACGGAATGAGGAACCATTGTAAATTTAAGAATAAAGGAAGACAACATCATAAGTTTCAGTATTGTTAAGTATCCTGCACAAACAGCTGATTGAAGAAGGGTCCAAATCAACAACAAATATGTCCCGGTAGATTTACTGAGATTCGTCCTGTCAAGGGTCAGGGTTAAAGTAACCTAGAGAAAATTTTTCACGGATTTAAGAAGATGCATGTTGCGAATTTCCCTTCAAGGTTCCCGAATTTGCGGTATCCGACTAGGGATTAAAGTACTGTTTCCGGTATGCGGGTGCAGGTCGATGTCGAGATCTTGCCAAGCTATCTGAGAACTCCAAACTCACCGGCGGGGGCCTGGGTTAGTTTAGGTTAATTTTAAAACATCAAATTAGATTAATGGGTTATTACTCTGCCAAGTTATAAGTTGGGAAATAAAAGCTTATTATTGGTTACACAATTTGTATCAGATTTAATATACACACGCACACAAGTATAAACACAAAAAACAACACTTGTCCTAATTCAACACTAATCCCGATTCAAAATAAATCCTCCCACAATAATTTCCCCCCCCCCCCCGCAAAAACAATGAGAAATCTCCTATGAGCTTATTTTTAAATATTACGGGTTTCATTAAATCTAAAATGTGTATCAGTGAAGTTACAAATACTTCTTTTTACTTAACAGTTTATTTGATCAAAAAACGAGACAAAAATAAAATCTTTCGATAAGAGAACAGTTAAATGTGTTTCTAGGTGTTTTCTAAAAAAGAACAAATGTATGTAGCCTTGTTAAAACTCTTAACATTCAAGATTTTAAATACGAACAAAAAATAATAACCCAGGAATATATAGTTTGAAAAAAACAAGGGGAGGGGGAATGTCAATGGTCTAGGGGAAAATGGAAAAAAAAAAAAAAAAAAAAAAAATAATAACTACCCCTGTGATCTTTGTGATCTCCATTGCTATTTTTTACCTTGAGTATTGAGACATTGGAGTAGTGCGCGGCATTGTAGATCCGTTCACTAGGGATTCGCATTCTAAACACGTAGATAGGAAGGAGTTAGCAACTAAATATTTATTCCTTTAGGATCAAATTCATCTTGATCCAGGATTCCTCCTAAGGTATGATAGGGGGAAGCGACCCACAAATAACGTTACAAAATGGTATTTACGGCATACGCTTATAGCCTCCAACCCATACCCATTTTCCTATTCCGGCAAAAAGTTTGTACTTTGTATTTTGTATTTTTGACAAATTTAATTGACCAGAGGTCACTTAATCCTTGTGTTTTGAGAGCACTATCGTAAAAAATATGTTGTTCTAATTAATACTTTAGATAACCCAACCATTTAGTATTTGTGTAAGAGATTTATACAAAAATTAGCTCCACTATAATTTTTAATAAGCATTCAAAGTAATTATTTTATATAACATTTTGATTTATGAATTTAAACAAACTCTGTTTTATCTGAGTTTTTTTTATCAGGTTTCTGATATTATCAGCAACAATTGTTGAAGGACAAATGTAAATAATTTTAGATCCAAAACTAACGTTTTTCAATAATTTCCAAAAATTGCTAAAAAAATTATGGTTTAGAAGGTAAAACAAGCCGGTAGCAATTATTGAAACGGTTTCAAAATCTAAAAATCACCTGAGAATTCTTCGTCCATTCGTCCACCATAGTAGTTCGGCGGCCGGCCAAAGGAATTCTGTTGGTAACCTCCCATGCTGTTCATAGTGCCCATACCTAAATTATATTAAAAAGAATTGTTTTCCCATATTTTACTCTCAATAGTAATTATTCTTTTACAAAAAAAAAATCCGTCTTTTTGCTCGGAGACTTTTATACCCTGACAAAACTGTTTTCCTGGTGAATTTCGTAGATTTTCAGTGACGTCTTTCGCAGATTTGAGATTTAAAACTAGATGTTACATATGGCAAGTTTAAAAGCAATAGAAACATAAATGGTCTTTAAGAATGATATTTGGAATATGAGAAAAATCGGCTATTTTATCCAATTATGCTGTTTTAATAGAGGGTAAAGAACATGACTAAAAACGATTATTAATCATCAAAATGGAGTTTAAGTTTACACATTAGAGGTACTTTAATCCACAGCTGTCGACTTAATGGTGTTAAGTATTTAACCAGAGGCATTTTCATAGGGGTGACTTCCCAAATGTGCAATTTTCCAAGCGTCAATTTCCCAAAGGTTAGGTTAGGCCTTCTGAGGCGGCTCAGGCTGCAATTGGGGCCGAGCGCTGCATGAAGATGGGCTGAGGGGTTGAGCACTGCGACTAGGACAGGCTAGGGGGCTGCGGACTTGGGAAGTTGCCGAATGGAAAATTGCATAGTTGGGAAATTGCCAGTTGGGAAGTTGTCACTAGGGAAGTTGACACTTGGGAAATAGCACATTTTGGAAAATACCTAACTTCATAACCCCACAGGAGGGCTATTATAAATATGAGCGTAAATTTATGAAGAAGATAAAAATAAAATAAGCAGCTGATTATTGACCCACCTGGCATAGTGCCTCTGCTTCCAGGTTCTTCACGGAGAATAATCGGGTGCTTAGAAGTATTAAAACTATCCTCACTTAACTCATCCTAGATGGATAAATAGAAAGATAGATTGATTTGTACTGGAATGAGGCAGGGGTCCATATAATTCCATCCGATCAATCTGAAATGTTGATTGATTGATATTAGGGGCAGAAATAAACAATGTTGTTATTGTAAACAATTGGAAGTATATAATGTCAATTTGTAGAAAAAATTCCATACTGCAGAATGTTTACTGCAAGGGAGTGTTTATTTTTCTGTATTTCATAATTAATCTCTTATATTAAACACTAATATTTACATCTTTTAACACCCCAAATGCAGAACACATTTCTGAATTGTAGAACATGTACACTAAAAACTTGTCAAAGTTCACAATAACATATACAGTGTACTTTCATGCTCCTAAATGTACTTTCAACCCCGATCCCATTTGGAATCAGAAATGGAATTATATGGACCCCTGGAATGAGGGGGGTAGATAAATAGATAGATAGAACAGACTAATCGAAATCTTGTTAAAACTATTATCAATTAGCTAATTCAAAATAGATATAGATCTAAATTTGGACTGGAATGTTCTCAATATTTTTTCAACTTTTTTGTTAGTTAAATAAAATTCCACGGGCAACGCCGGGAACTTCAACTTGTTATTATTACTGCAATAATTCTACCTAAAAGCTAACAGGCTATGAGAACAGCTAGGAGTTTAAGCATTATTATTATTACTGTAATAATTCTACCTATGAAGCAGGCAGGCTATGAGTACAGCTTGAAGGTTAAGTATTATTATTATTATTGTAATAATTCTACCTATGAAGCAGGCAGGCTATGAGTACAGCTAGAAGATTAAATATTATTATTATTGTAATAATTCTACCTATGAAGGAGGCAGGCTATGAGTACAGCTAGAAGATTAAATATTATTATTATTGTAATAATTCTACCTATGAAGGAGGCAGGCTGAGTACAGCTAGAAGGAAAAATATTATTATTATTATTGTAATAATTCTACCTATGAAGGAGGCAGGCTATGAGAACAGCTAGGAGAAGCATGGCAACTATGATAAGAGCAGGGACCAGGAAGGTTAGAATATATTCCTGGTCAGGGGGGAAGAAAGCCAGGTCGGCATCATCCGTAGGATCTAAGGAACAATATATTAAAGTAACTATGGGACTTTGTTTTCTGCTTCCTATTTTTAAAGAGGGTCACTGCGTTTTCCTTTAATCTATGACCAGATCAATAAGGTTTACTACATTTTGTCTTTAGTCCAGCGTTGAATTAACACAATTTCCTTCTTTGCGTCTGTAACATAAACCCGCAAGTCACTTTTAAAGTTAAATCCAAAATAAAAATAAATGGCTTATTCAATCTTGATCAGACGACGCGTTCAAGAATGTGGTGAATCGGACCTGGCACTTTATAGATGAATTGCAACTTGAAATTACATCTACAGTCTCTTTTGATTGTCACATTGTACCTGGTTTAGCTATTTTAACACAAGCTCCTAGTTCCACCATCTTGACATCAGAAAGATGAAATTCTGGAGCAAAGTTTAGCATCACATGCTGCCGGGGATTCCCATCCTAATCAAGGGAAGGTTCAAGAACAAGGTCAAGGTAAAGGTCAAAATCAAGGATCAATATCAAGATAAAGGATCAAATCAAGATCAAGGATCAAGGTCAAGATCAAGGTCAAGGCCAAGGTCTAGAACGGTCGAGGTCAAGTCGAACGGTCAAGGCCAAGTTAAAGAACGGTCAAGATCAAAGTGTCAAGATCAAAGTGTCAAGATCAAAGTGTAAAGTTTAAAGTGTCAAGGTCAAAGTGTCAGGGTCAATGTGTAAAGGAGTGTCAAGGACAAAGTGCCAAGGTCAAAGTGCCAAGGTCAAAGTGTAAAGGTCAAAGTGTGAAGGTCAAAATGTAAAGGTCAAAGTGTCGAGGACAAAGTGTCGAGGACAAAGTGTCGAGGACAAAGTGCCAAGGTCAAAGTGTCAAATACAAAGTGCCAAGGTCAAAGTGCCAAGGTCAAAGTGTCAATGCCGAAGTCTCAAGGTCAAAGTCTCAAGGTCAACGTCTCAAGGTCAAAGTCTCAAGGTCAAAGTCTCAAGGTCAAAGTCTCAAGGTTAAAGTCTCAAGGTCAAAATCTCAAGGTCAAAGACTCAAGGTCAAAGTCTCAAGGTCAAAGTCTCAAGGTCAAATGTCAAATTCAAAGTCTCAAGGTCAAAGTGTCAAGGCCATATTTTCAGGGTCAAAGTGTCAAGGTCAAAGTGTCAAGGTCATATTGTCAAGGTCATATCGTCAAGGTCAGAGTGTCAAGGTCAAAGTGTTAAGGTCATATTGTCAGGGTCAAAGTGTCAAGGTCAAAGTGTCAAGTTCAAAGTGTCAAGATCAAAGTGTCCAGGTCAAAGTGTCAAGGTCAAAGTGTCAAGGTCAAAGTGTCAAGGTCAAAGTGTCAAGATCAAAGTGTCCAGGTCAAAGTGTCAAGGTCAAAGTAAGATCAAAGTGTCCAGGTCAAAGTGTCAAGGTCAAAGTGTCAAGGTCAAAGTGTCAAGGTCAAAGTGTCAAGATCAAAGTGTCCAGGTCAAAGTTTCATTATCAAAGTTTCAACAAACTGTCAAAATAAAAAAGTAGAATTATTAATTTAAGACATATAGTTACCCTGTCCAATAACAAAAGTTAGAAAAATTAAATTTAAATTTGTTACCTTGTCCATTAAAAATGTTTTAGTTTTCTGAAGCCATTTCTTGGGACAGTTTTGGTCTTCTATACTTTTATTATACCAAGTCACCTCAAAAAAAATTCAATTTTGAAAAATGAAAATCACTGTTTTGTGGCAGAATAAAAATCCCCGAATGGGTATTATATAATTTGCAAGTCAGCAAATCAGAATTCTAGAACCCGAGAATGCCTTTTCATATTTGTTTCCTTTAATAGCCCCGTTATTTATTATGTGTTTCTAACTTCTATCTAGAGTCAATAAATTTACTTCTAATACTTCAAGATTGAGCCATTTTAAAATTGTAAATCGATTGCTACTTTTTAAATCCATTCATAAAGAGAGTTTCATTTTAAACAAATTACCATTAGAAATGTTTTAGGAAAAAGTTTACTTTGGAAAATTCACAATCAGGGTTAAACTTCGGGAAATTACGTAGCAATGAGAGTATGCTTTTATGCAAAGAGAAAAACACATCATCGGAAAATGGACCAACCCAAAATGGCGTAACCTCTGGGAAATTACGTAGCAATGAGAATTTGCTTATGAATAATATAAATTTTACAAAAACAATTTCCCAAATGTTTTCATTGTTTTCTAGTTTTGTTTTTTAAATAAAAAAATAAAAATGTTAGTTTCATTTTAAAATTTTCCCGGAAAACTTTCAAACCATTATTTAAATATTGCCTATCTATTAATTATGAGAAAGAGGAAAGGGAAAGTTCACGAATATCAAATCAAATCCTACCTCAAAAGAAATAGGGTCCACATTCTTGAGAACTACGTGACGTGTGTCCGGATCATTAAAGATTTTGGCAATCGTCTTGATCAATCGTACCCTGAAATAAATAAATAAATATATAAATAAATAAATAAATAAATCATCCCGTGGGAGTCAGGGTTAAGCTCTCAAATAAACGCACCATAAATAGTGAAAAGTGCGTCGTTAACTTAAATAAGACAGACTAATTTTCACTCTCATATTAAAGGGACTGTAAGCGTAATTTTAAGGGACCCTAAATGCAAAGATTGCAATGCCCGATTAACAAAGATATCCTTAATCTGATTAAAAATGTGGAAGATGCCGTCGTACTTATTTAGATAAGAAATGTGCAAGTCATTTTTGCAAAGAAACCGCCAATAAACATTAACAGTTTAACGAAAAAAACATATCTATCAATATGATCCATACTTGATCGGGAAAAGCTTACCGTAGTAAATCTTTGCATGGAATGTCACTTGAATTACGCTTACAGTCTCTTTAACTAATTGACAAATTAAGAACGCATCTGTATCTCGTCATAGTTTAAAAATTTAAATGTAAGTAAAATTGAATCCATTTTTTTGGTATAAACTTTTTAAAAAGTATATTTTTTATTATATATCGCAATATTTTAGCTTTCTTCTGGTTTTTTTTTTGCAATTTTTTAATAAAATTGCTTTATGCTTTTTCCGTTTTTTTACAAATAAAAAACAATGCCCGATTCTCTTAATAACTTTGTCTGATGAAGGATGAATACGAATCAATGTTTATAATTTTGAAAACCGACTGTGGTTTCTCTGCTAAAGCGACTTGGGCATTTCTACTGCGGGAAAACATGTAGGAATTATTATAATTAAAAACTTTTAAACCTAGATGAACGACAATATCTTTCACATTATTGACTTGCTAAAACTTTCAAGGGTTCAGTTGTGAATCGGGCATTGCCATCTTTGTATAGAGGATAACTTGAAAATTACGCTTACAGTCCGTTTAAAAACGAAACTAAATTCAAGATTGAACTTTACATACCTGTTATTAAGAAGACGAGTCCCATCGTCAAGCGTATCATTAAATACGAAAATGAATTCAAGATTGAACTGTTCATCAAACGGTCTCCCAACAACATGGACCTACAACGGTAAAAATTATTCCAAAAAGAAAAAGACTAGAATAAGAAAAAAGTCACGAGAAGTCAAAAAAGAAACAATTCATAAGAAAATGGAGACAGTTAACAATAAAATATAAACATAATAATAAAGCAGCAGCACTCGGTGCTTTTAAGCTTTAAACTCTGTAGTTTTTGAACAAAAAATTACTTGTGTACATATAAGAAGTTCGACGTTTATGTTGAGAAAAGAAGTGTTTGAGATAAATGAAAGGGTGGTATGGGCTGAATCGCTAAGAATTGTACTTCTCTCTATGACTTCTGTAAGGAGAAAATGGTTAAAAACATGCACCACCCATATCTGAGATGGAATTTAAAGAATTTGAGCCGCGGTTTAAATCCTCCAAAACCCGGTTTAAATTAAGCGCCGGCTTAAATCTTGAAACATTTGATACAATTTTAACTGCAACCAACCATATTTAAACCGCCGCTCAAATTCTTTAAATTCGGCCACTGATCCATTAAATATTACAATAAATAAATTCCGGATTTGATTCAGGTCACTCAAATTAAATTGTTGACAAAACTTGACAGTACAGTGTACACTGTACTATGTACAGTTACAAATATACAGTACTGTGTACGCGTTATTCTCTGCAGTGTACAGTGTACATTGTACTGTGAGAGCACAATGTACTGTTCATACCTCTATACCATCTATAGCCATGAGACCCTGTGTATCAGCACACACAAGTTGATACGCTTCGCGTCCGACATCCCCCTCAAGGGGAACACCATAGAACTCCTAGTTAAGAATAATAATAATAATAATAATAATAATAATAGTGTAGTATACTTAATTTATAATCCTTATAATAATAATAATAATAATAACAATAAAAATAATCATTGTTAACATCAAAATCATCATAAAAATCATTTTAAAAATACAAAAATTAATATCAATATTTACACTTCTTTGAACAACATGTAAAGAAAGAATAATAATAAATCACAATAATTTAATGCTTTCACATTTCTAAAAATTGACATTGTTTCTTTTGTGTAATAAATAACCTAGTAACTTAAAATATTTCCTCAACTTTTAATCCATTCAAAAGAAATGTTCACAAAAATGAAAAGAAAAAATTGGATTATTAAAATAATGATATTGGACCCTTTATCCACAGAAAAAAATAGACCACACGGAAACCAGAAGTACGAATAAATTCCTTTTTTGATAACAAATTTGTCGCGAATAGTTTCTTTAAAATGCTCCTTAAAGGGCCTGTAAGCGTAATTCACCTGCAAATTCCTGTGTGCAATGTGTTGAGTTTCGACTCTAAATACAAGCGGGTTTCGATAAGTTTGCACACACATTTCTCTGTACTCGACGAACACAAAAAGGTTTTAACAGTACCGTTGTAAATCAGGCATTGCCCTCTTTGCATGGAGGGCCACTTTAAATTACGCTTACAGTCCCTTTAAAGGTGTGTTGAAATCTCCGAACCTGATTCTTCTTATCAAACTGGAGCCAGTTCCCTGTAGTAACCTCCAGCCTTTGCTTAGTGAGGAGGCTGAGCTCCAGATACCTTGTCATACCGTTCTCAGAGTCAAAACACATATCTTCAGGAACCTTAAAGGGATTGTTCATGTTATTAGTATTCAAACTCCACTAGGAAAATTTTCTAGTTCTCTTTGTATCCTTAACAAGGCGATGATGAACTACATAAAGACCCATAAAATTCTTAAGCACACAAAAGCAAGAAAATAGCAAGGTTGTATTTACTTTCTAGAACATGTTTGTTAGTTTACTGTTTTAAATCATGAAACTATTTGATCTAAGGCGTCACTTATGCATCACTTTATGCATCACTTTATAAAAAAAAAATATTGAAAAATAACCCTTTGGGATTGGCGTAAAATGATACCTTTTTTTTGCAAAAATAAAAAACGCAGGAAAAGGTCGTAGAACTTAGGACCCCACCTGGAATTGAAGAAGTTCTCCGGCCATTACATTTAGTTTATCCACAGGGTTCCGTATCTGGGGCATTGAGTTGTCAAACCCAGTTGGAGGTACACGGGCTGAATCTAAGGGAAAAAAACATTAACATCTAAATAAATAAAGCAATAATCTCTGTTTGTCTGTTTGTTTGTAAGTCCGATCATAACTCATGAACCCTTTGACCAATTTGCCTAAAATCTTTACATCAAATTTACGACCAAGCGCGGGTAAAGGGCGAGACTAACTATGAATACCCTGGGCAACGCTGAGTTCTCTAGCTAGTAAAATTGTAAAGGATTGATTCCAATTCAGGGGTATACATTATTAAGAATTACGCAGCCCAGAGAGGGGAGGGGGAATGATTAATGATACTCTGAGGGGAAAAAAGACACTTTTAACCAAAATTTTAAGTATTTTCCCCAAATTTATTTTTCTCCAATCCAGTGAAAAAACCCCTAAAAAACCTCTGGAAGAAAAATTATTTTCAAAAACAAGGAAGGGGAGGTAAATAATTTTTAAAGAAAATATACAGTGTACACTGTACACCCATATCAAATTTTAAAAAAATAAGTCCCTGTTAGAAGTCTAAATTTTCCTTACCATCGGTTCTGTCTCTGCCAGACTCCTTACAGAGTCCGTTGTACACCAAATCTACCTTAGAGACCAGAAAATCCTCCTACAGTGCACACACACATTTACAATTTTCCCCGTGTCAAGAGTAAACATTTTGTAGGATGTTATCTTTATAATCTTCTTGATAATCTTTCTTTCACGAGTATTCATTTATATTCCCCAATCGACAATAAACCCCCCCAAGTAAAACAACAACAAAAAACCTTTTAATTTGTAACAATTTTTATTTGTTCCTTTCTTTGAACGTTCTATCCTTTCATTTAACATTTAGACTGTGTTTCCATTACATTGCTATTTTTCCTGTAAAGTGCAATTACAAAATATGCTATTTTTTCTGTAAAGTGCAATTACAAAATATGTTATTTTTCCTGTAAAGTGCAATTCAAAATATGCTATTTTTTCTGTAAAGTGCAATTACAAAATATGTTATTTTTCCTGTAAAGTGCAATTACAAAATATGCTATTTTTCCTGTAACGTGCAATTAAAAAATATGCTATTTTTCCTGTTAACGTGCAATTACAAAATATGCTATTTTTCCTGTAAAGTGCAATAACAAAATATGCTATTTTTTCTTTTAACGTGCAATTACAAAATATGCTATTTTTCCTGTAACGTGCAATAACAAAATATGCTATTTTTTCTACATCACGTGCACATTTTTTAATTGGTCCTACACTACGCGCTAACATTTCCAATTAAACTTGCAAATATTTACTTTTTAATGTTCTAATTTTTCCTATTTAACGTGCTAAGATTGTTCTAGGTTTTTTCCTATGTAACGAATTAAGTTTGCTCTATATAACGTCCTATTTTACCTAAATAACGAGTTTATTTTGCTCCGAATAACATGCTAATTTTTCCTATATTAAGAGTTTATTTTGCTCTATATAACGTGCTAATTATATCTATTTAACTTGCTAAATTCTTCCTAATATCTTCTTTTGTCCGGCCGATAACGTCCGTTTAAGTAAGTGTCTCCCTTAAAAGCAGTTTTGAAACCAGGAGCTACACTTCCTCCTGAGTTGATCTGATTAAATATTCCTCGTATCTCATCTCTAGAATCACAAACACAAGGTCACAAAGGAAGACAAAGGGTGCAGTTCGTTAGTGAAATGTATGAGCGTGATCCCCCAAAAAACATTGTTTCTTTCAAAAACTCTGATTTTCTCAGCCCTCTATCTTTGCAACCCAACCTTTGATATTTTATTTCAAACTATTTATTCTCTGTTAAATAATAAAATCGAAGTTAGAAATATCAGAGGTTTTCATCAGAATGTTGCTAAGAAATAGATATTTTGAATTTAGTACGTACGCATGTACTACGTACATTTTAATCCGCTAAATGTTGAATCCACAACACTTCGTAAACTAAGATTCAGTTCGGATATTGTTTATAAAGGTGTAATTATAGTCAGAAATATCAGGAGAAAGAAATAAAAGCCCCCACCCCCCAACCCAGTTGGNGTTCAACATGGGGTGAGCGCGGCGAAAGAGATAGATAAACTGCCCAAACTACCATAGCATGATTGAACCTGGATTGAACCCTATTTCAATTATTGTTGTGGTAAGATATTAATTGAATATGGGGATGCAGAGGGGGGATGAGATAGATCTATTCATTGATCTTGTGATTGCCTTGGACAAGTCTGAAGAGGAAGAGTTTCATTTGTCCAGAAGAACTCAATATTATCCTGAAACATATCAAATATTTTATTATCTAAAGTCTGAAGTCCAAGTTTGGTTCACAACGGTATCCTCTACACCCTTATCCTTGTAAAAATGAGTGATGAATTCTGGTCATTTCCGTCAACTTAAAATTATCAATTTTGGCCAAATCTTAATGCTAGATCAAACTTTGGTTTCAGGGGTACGACTGTATATCGGACAGACCCACAGACTACACAGATAAATCTCCTTTTACAGGGTGAACTACGTAGGCCAAAGTTGACCCGGGACGACATACTACGTTTTTACGATAGGTTTTTAGAGTGCCATCTCACGGCCACTTGTTAAACATAATACCCATTCAGGGGTTAAGTTTTACAACTTTTAAAGAAATACTCCAATTTTAAACATGAAACATAACATTTATGAATTCAGTCTTTTTTTAAAGATTTTGTGTTTCGTATCCAAAGGATTCTTAAATATCCCTGAATACAGATGTTTGCTTTTTGGTCGTGAACAGTACTTGTACACTATAGAACATGCTGTGGGAAATATTGCATATCATATGTTTTAATCGATCTTTGTAAATCTCTTGTCTCTGGACAGACCACTCTACAACTGGAGGAACTCTTCAATTTACTTCACAATGAAAAATCCAAAAAAAATTTTAACATGTGAAATTGTGAATGACATTTTCATATGAAAATAGATGCAAAAATTTAAAATATAGAAATTAATATACACCAACAAGAACATGAACATGAACATGAACATGAACATGAACATGAACATGAACATGAACATGAACATGAACATGAACATGAACATGAACATGAACATGAACATGAACATCTACCTGAGATTGCTGGATACCAAGAACTGTAAGTTTACTCGGATCTCTATCTCCGAAGTATTCATGAATTCTCTCCAAAACCTAGATAATTCAAGATATACAAAACTTCAAATTTTTAAGTTTCTAAAAATAAAATATTTCCGAATTTTATGAAGCAATTCTAAACATTTAAGTACCGACGAGTTAAACAGTTTCTCTCTAACACCGATTTTAAATCTAACCCTATCTTGAAATAGTCTAATGAAAAATTTAAATCCTTCCTTTCCTTAATTTTAGAGCTCTGCAAATAATTAGAACAGGGTGTCCCAAAAAAATTAATATAGGATTTTGGATCGTGATCGTGCGCTGGATCCGGATCCGCATTAAAATAAAATGGATGCTTAAAACTGGAAAAAATTCTTAATTTATTATAAACTAATTTGAACTAATTTGAAATGAAATCTAAAAAACAGAGGGCCCGCTATGAACCCCCCTGACACTAGTATACTACGTACCTCAATTTTCCAGTCTATCGGGTGAGGGTACTTCCAGGAACTTACTTCAACATTACCACAATGAATTCATTAACGGAGTAATGTTTTAAGCAATAAGGGAAAAAAAAAATCAATTGGGATTGATTCGCTTGAAAAACTGTTATTTTCTTTTGAAAATGCAAATATAGTCGTTAATGAATTTGATTGAAACAAATATTCAATTACATTGACAGATAAATTGAAAGATAGAATGGTAAATTAAGAAATATATAAAATAGATAGATAACTTGTTGGACATCTAGATGGATAGATAGATAAATAAATAGATTGAGATATAGATACATGGCTAGATAGCCAGATAGAAAGATAAATAGACAGACAGACAGACAGACAGACAGACAGACAGACAGACAGACAGACAGACAGACAGACACAGACAGACAGACGGACTTACGGACAGACAGACAGACAGATAGATAGATAGATAGATAGATAGATAGATAGATATTGTGCTATTATTCCTAAAGTAAGGTAGAGCTTGAAAACATGATGGAAAACACGGGAACTAGAATGCTGACGAACTATTATCTCCAGAACATCGACAACAGATTCCCCACCTATAACAAGAAATAATTCCCCATCTTTATTGATATTATTACCCAATCTGTAGCAAGATATAATCCCCCCCCCCTTTTATTGCTATAAATCCCCCATATATACTTTTATAATCCCCCCCTTTTATTGCTATAAATCCCCCACATATACTTTTATAATTCACTCACCTATATTGCTATAAATCCCCCACACATACTTTTGTATTTCACCCACCTATATTTCAATAAATCCTCCACCTATAGTGATATTATTCCCCACATATAATGATATAATTCCACACCTATATTGATATAATTCCCCACCTATATTGATATAATTCCCCACCTATATTGATATAATTCCCCACCTATATTGATATCATTCCTCACCTATATTGATATCATTCCTCACCTATATTGATATTATTCCCCACCTATATTGATATTATTCCCCCTTTTGCTGATATTATTCCCCAACCTACATTGATATTATTCCCCACCTATAATGGTATTATTCCCCATGCCTATATAGATATAATTCCCCACCTATATAGATATAATTCCCCGCCTATATTGATATTATTCACCACCTATATTGATATTATTCCCCCTTTTGATGATATTATTTACAACCTATAATGGTATTATTCCCCACGCCTATATAGATATAATTCCCCATCTATATAGATATAATTCCCCGCCTAAAATGATATTATTACCCGCCTAAATTGATATAAAATTCCCCCACCTACAACAAGATGTAATTTCCCCACTTAAAACGAACCCCCCTCCCCCCGAATCAAGAGGGGGAAGGGCAGGGCATCCGGAGAGGTCAGAGCATATCAAAATAATTGTATGTTACAATGACCTAACAATTTACCTTTATCTGTTGCAATAACTCTAAATTTCCAAGTTCCAATTTCTGACTCTAGGGGCAGAGCGACCAGCTCCTTTATTTCATCATTTATTCATTATCAATAATATAAAAAAAGGAAACTTTGAATGAATTATTATTTTCTAATTTTCATTTTTCATTGGAATCCGATTGCAATTAGTCCAACTAAGAGTAACATGAGTAAAGGTAAAAGAATTAAAACAATTGTATTTCATAAAGAAGAGAAAAAGTGCACGAACAGTTGTGTAAATAAAATGATGAAAAGTACGAATAATACAAGTAACAAAGAAATGATGACTGAAAGTATGAATGAATGAATAATTGAATAAATAAAAAAAAAAGAATTAAGAACAAACTTATGGTATGATGAATGAATGAAATGAATGAAATGAATGAAATGAATAAAATTTAAAAAAATTAAAAAAATTTAAAAAATGAATATATTGAATAAAATGAATGAAATGAATGAAATGAATGAAATGAATAAAATTTAAAAAAATTAAAAAAATTTAAAAAATGAATATATTGAATAAAATGAATATAATGAATAAAATGAATTAAATGAATTAAATGAATTAAATGAATTAAATGAATAAAAATAAAATGAATTAAATGAATTACATGAACAATGAAAATAATAGGACGAAAGGATGAATGAAAGAATAAATTGATGAAATATTTAGGACGAATGATAAGATGAATGAAAGAACAAAGAAAAAAAGGATACGAGGATGAATGAAAGAGAAATGAATTTATGAAATAATTTATGAATAAATAAATAAATAAATGAAAAAATAAACAAATAAATGATAAATATATAAATATATAAATAAATGAATGAAAAGATTAATAAATGAAAGGATGAATGAATAAAAGGATTTAAGGATGAATGAATGAATATCCCTGTCTAGTAGGATGGTATTGTATCCAGTCTAAAGTATCCAATTCTTCTTGGGAGTTGAATTCAACAATTCTTAAACTCAGATCCCTGGTATCCCCATCCTCTAGATCCTAGTAGAACAATGTACGATATACAATCAAATCAAGTCAAAATCTGAAGGGAACCCAAAGTGGACTGAATTCAGGACGCTATAATCCACCATACAGAACAATATATATCATTTAAAGCAGATCGTCGTGATATGTATGACAAATCAAATAAATGTATATATTGTATGTATATTATGTATAACTATGGGCACGGGTGCTAGACACTCTAGCTTTACCGGATAGTACAAAATAATGTAATGCATATTTTTTACGAAAATGTTAAAATAGACATGAAAAAAGGTTACCTGGAATGTATTTGCTGGAATTATTATTCTTGAAGATTTGCCAGCAATAAGAGATAGTTTATTCAACCTGAATACGTAATAATTATGAAAATAAAAGAGAATGTTCACGAATTTAGAGACAGGATATTATCTAGGGGAAAAAAAGACGATAAACCCTAACTTGTTTATTTAAAGGGCAAAATAAAATTGGAAAAGTTTGAAGCATCGAAAGTTCAAATCTGAGATTGTGAGGATTCATATTCTTCAATATGTAAATTTTAATACAAATGTATTTATTTGGAATAATACCCANCCCCTCCACATCGCATCTGGGAAATAATTATTAACGAAGATGAGTGCAGGAATTATATGACCGCCATGCATTGTTTTTTAATAATTTTTACATAAAACATTTTTTCCCCTAAATTCGGTGTAAAAAAACCCCGAAATTCCGAAAATACACGGAGAGAATACAGATAGATTTAATGAGGGGGGCAAGGGAAATAATTTATCACGAGAAAATGTAAACATTTGAAATATTTTACCTGTTGGTGATGAAGGGTTGGTGATTTTTAGGAGGGAATGCCGGCCCTGTTGGGATAATGCTCGAGCTAGGACCAGGATATTCACTTCTACAAATATTATTATTAAAGCAATTGTTCACATATTTAAATCAAATATACTCAAATCACAGTTTTAGGGATATCCTAAGAATGCTGAAGTGAGTACTAAATCAGAATTTGACGAGGGACTCAAAGTTAGTTGTTTTGACGTTTGAAGTTATAATGAAAATGATAATTTCGTTCATTGCTAGTGGTCCTTTTTGTTAGATACCGAAAAAAAAATTTATAGAATTTTCCACAGCTTCTAGTTTTTTCTTCTTCATTATTTCTAGATTATTTATAAATTCTTAAATCTTTAAATTACTAGCTGAAGGAGTGTCCAAAAAAATGTCAGCTCATTCGGTCCAGCAGTTTGGCTGGCCAGAGTAAACATATATACGAAAGTCTTGTTTTATTTCTTAATAAATTGATTAATAAATGAAATTAAAATTTGAAAAAATAATAAATTGACTGGTTGATTATTGATTAATTGATTAATTGATGATTGATTATTTGATTAATTGATCAAATGATTAACTGATTGATTTATTAATTGATTGATTGATTAATTGATTTATTTATGAATTGATCGATTAGCTAATTTATTTATTTATTAATTGAGCGTTAAACTGATTTATCTAATAATAGATTCATTCTTTTCCATTTTTTTAGTTAATTTATTAATTAATTAATTAATTAATGGATTAGCTAATTAATTGTTGATTAACCTAGTGGGTGAAATAAGATCTGCTTCATCAATATCTCCGGCCAGGGTATTTATAGGAAACTCAACACCACTCCCCTCACTACGCAATCCTGAACATACATTTTGTAGCGAAGAAAATGTAAATTCTCAAACTTTCAGATCTAAGATAAAATTGCTTAAGACATTCCATGCAAAGATGGCAGTGTCCGATTCACATCGATACCCTTGAAATCTTTATTTGATCAATATATTAAGATATGGCCCTCATATTACTAAGTTTAAAATGGTTTAATTCTGATAACTCCATCATGTTTTCCTGAGGTATAAATCCACAAGTCACAAGCAGAGAACCCAGAATTGAAACTTTCAAAATTATAAACATTCCGATAATCCTGATTACTTAATCTGAGTATCTAATGGACACAATTTTTAAACCGTTCTTTCTTGGATCTAGTAGAGAAAAATCAAAACAGGTTTTTAGACCGTTCTTTCTTGGATCTAGTAGAGAAAAATCAAAAACCGGTTTTTTTTAATTAGAACGTCCCTCCCGTTTCTGTATATTAATCTTAAATTGCTCGCAAAATTTTATTTTTATCGGCTATATATATGCGACTTTGATTGGTTGAATTTTATACACTTTTCAGGATACAAGTACAAGATTAGGTTAGTCTTGATATTAAAAAAAGAGAGGATCAAGCATTAATCTCGATAACCACTATTCTAAAGTTTTCAGCTCTGATCAGACAAAGCTTTGAAGGGTATTATTTTAAATTGGACATTGCCCTCTTTACAGGGAGGGGAAAATAAATGATAAGTAAAGATTTTTTTCATCCTTAATCTCGACCCCGATCTCACAAAGAACAAAATAAATTTTGCAAGGCATAGGGAACCACCAATCTAAAGCCTGATGGGTAAGGACAACGACGGATACTTGAAGAAGTGGTTAGCCAACCTGGATAGTAGGATGAGAGTTGATCAGGTCGGGACGGTATTCTCTCCGGGTTCGTGTTAGAGCTGGGAGCAAATACAGCCGTGTTACTTATCCCTCCTCTACCCACCTAAAACATTATTTTCTTTTATAAAAAAAAACAACCAAACAAAAAATCTTTTTATTTTTATTCGAAAATTAGACTTGATATAAATTAATCTAAAATAAAAAATTTCTTCTTAAAAATTTTTATTCTGAAATCAGATTTGCAACTGATTCAAAATTAAGTAAAGGTGGAAAAAATTTTAGCCGACAAATCTAATCTATTTCAGTAAGTATANGGGAGGAAGGGAGGGAGAAGGTAGGACTAGAAGGTTCTGGAACTATACTAGTAAATATTACTCACTGTACTACGGGAGGAAGGGAGGGAGAAGGTAGGACTAGAAGGTTCTGGAACTATACTAGTAAATATTACTCACTGTACTACGCGAGGAAGGGAGGGAGAAGGTAGGACTAGAAGGTTCTGGAACTATACTAGTAAATATTACTCACTGAACTACGGGAGGAAGGGAGAGAGAAGGTAGGACTAGAAGGTTCTGGAACAACTCTACTCGGCAAAATCTCCGAGTTACTCCCATAGTCCTGATCCTGTAATACAATATTCTTAAACTTATTGTTAAAGGGTCATCCTGTACAATCAATCAATCAATCAAACCAACCTGAATTCAAATACTAATAGTCAATGAAGCAAAACCTGAATTACAATACTAATTATCAATCAATCAATCAATCGTTCAATCGAACCTGAATTCCCAATACTTATAGTCAATCAATCAATCAAACAATCAAATCTGAATTACAATACTAATTATCAATCAATCGTTCAATCAAACCTGAATTCAAATACTAATAGTCAATCAATAAATCGTTCAATCAAACCTGAATTCAAATACTAGTCAATCAATCAACCAATCAAACAAACCTGAATTCAAATACTAATAGTCAATCAATCAATCAAACAATCAAACCTTGAATTAAAATACAAATAGTCAATCGATCAATCAATCAATCAATCCTTAATTCAAATACTAAAAGAAATACCTCATCGTCGTCATAGTCATACGCTGAGCCCTCGATATCACGTGCCGAACGTTCTGATTCATAACGTGCCAATTCGTCCCACTAAATTATGGGAAATTGTAGCCATTGTTCAGGACCGGAACCGCTGTCAATTGCTCGACCCGAATTTGATTTTTTAAAAATAATAAAAATAGCCTTCTTAGATTTATAACTAGTTGGATTGCTTTAAATCGAAATAAATAAGGTCCCAATATAAGCAAAAAAAAAGATAATGTTTCCCGTTCTTTAATTATAATTACATCCATTAACAGAAAACCGTACTGGGATTGTCGTCTTCTATCTTTCTTTTTCGTCTCTAAAGATTTGTAAGTGTCAATTGTTTTGATACTTTAATACATACAAAATTTTATAAATAAATCAGATCTAACTAAATATAAGTCCTTGGCGACTTTTCATAATAAAAAGATATGCGACAAAATTCATTCCACAATTAGATGGATACCACTGTATTCTTATTCCTACCTGATTGCCAAGAACTGTTGATGTAAAGAGACACGAGATCGCAAGAGAAAAAACTAAACAAAACTAAATTGGTTCTTGATGTTTTAGGCCAAGGGACTGTAAACGTAATTTCAAGTAAACTTCCATTTCTAAAGTGGAACATCCGTTCTTTTAAAGCTTTGTCTGATCTATGTGCACTTGATACCAAGGAACTATATACAGGAACGCCCAACTCAGATATAGGCATATTATGTACTGTACACTATGGGAGGAATGCAAACAAACCCAGTGCCCCCACAGAAGTTGAAGGGAAAGGACTAAAACTCTGATGTGATATTACAGTCCAACAAAAAACAAGTTAATATATCAAGTTAGAGCGAATACATATGATTTTTGGGTTTCTGGTCAAAATGGAAAATACAATAACAATACATTCTTATTCCACCCCTTGCATTGGGCCCTTTTCCATCATAAATGATGCGTTGCCACTGAATTCTTTGTTTTGATCTCCTCCCACTGCAGTACACAGATTTGACGCATGAGATATTGCGGTTCCTGGTCTATATATTTCTTGCTTGATACCATGTTTCTGTTTTTGAAAACTTAATCATTTTCATTGGGGTTTCTATTCAAATGACTAGTGCAAATTTCTACTACAGGAGCAATAAAAGATTTGTTAGAAAAAAATCAGATGAAGGTTCAAAGGGTAGTTATTACTGGGCACAACAGTTGAAAATGTATAGGGTTAATACAATGACTGACCATTTAGACTGGCATTTAAACATGTATACCCCTTTTAGATGCAATGAACAAAAGTTTATTTTAAATACCCTTTAAAGGATCGTATTTGCGTATTTTCAAGTAAATCTTAATCTCTGAAAATTTCTCATATTTTAATTTTACTAATTGAAAGGTAATTTTATCAAAAGCGCTCGGCCCAAAACTTGTCTCCTAACCTAACTCTAAAGTAATACAACTATCATGTACATTCATAAATAACAGGAGGGGGAGAAAGGGAGACTCTTTCTCTAGAACTGAGCCAGATATAAAATATCAATATATTACCGGGGCCCAAATTCTTCCCAACCATATTAATGGACAAATTTTCTTCCATCTACACTCTGACTGACATATTCACATCTGAAATTTCAATCATTATGAGAAGTAAGTTTAGACAAACTCCAAGTTATAAATTCTTTATTGTACGAAAAATAACTCGGCAAAATTAGTTAAAATTCCCCAAAATAAGTTTGAGGATCTTTTTTGATTGAAAAGGGGAAGATATCAATACAGAAATTATTTGGTTTGGGGATTTAAAGATATTTATTCCGAAGACGACATTTGAGATATCGTATTCAATTTAATGCTATCTTTATCGATTGGCCTTCTGAACTAGCCGAACCGAACTAGCCCGTAGCTGGGGGGGGGGCAAAGGGGTACGTACCCCCATTTTCCTCCCAAAGGTGGGGCACTGGTGAGGCACACTTTCTGAGACAAAAAGAAGTTGGAAACGAAAAAAGAAAAAAGGAAGGAAAAAAGAGGAAAAAATTGGTATAAAATCTAAATTTTTTACCAATATTATGTGCAGAGGATATTATTTTTTCTTCAAATTAAAGGAAAATTGAGTGCTTTCTGAAATGAATTTTGGGAATTTTAATTTCTATCCTGTCTTGTGAAATGATAGGGTTATTTTTTTTATATTTTGAAAAGCTTATCCTTTTCCCTTCTTATTAGATTAATGATCTTCTGATGAACCATTGTACAGCAAAAGTAAAATTGAGACAAATTAAAATTATATGCAAAATTATTATTATTATTAAAGTTTATTTTACACACTTAAAAAAATGTTACAATAAATTAAGACAAAGACGTATAATTTAAACGAGGATTATATGTAAATATAGAATATCACTTGTTAATCACTACAAAAAAAAAAAAAAATTATATCATTAAATTCATGATAATTAAAATCGTGAACAGAAAAATGTTTTGATCTTAGATCTAGCAGTTGATAAATGAGAGATATTTTCCAATTCTGATATCATCGGGTAACTTTGAAAATGTTAAATTTTGTTTAACAAAATCTTTAGACATATTGTCCACTAACACATTACAATCATCTGCAAATGTATTCAGATTACATAAAACTGTTTGTTGATCATTTTAAAACAAATTATAAAGGAAACGAATACTTGACTTATTTGTACTGTTTCAGAAAAGACAACAAATCTGCTCGCCAATTAAGTTTTTATGTGCGGGGCCGAGCGCCGCGGCTAGGACAGGCTAGGGTGGCCGGGCACTGCGGCCACAAGTGCTACTGATCAGCTGACTTTAGTGCAAAAGTACGTTAGTTCAATCGGACATTAGCGCAAACGATATATAGCATCAAGCAGCATCTAGAAATAGGCCCATAAGGTATCTATGAGCATTTCGGGTAACATCAAATAAAATTCTAATGGAAACATTCCCTGAATTATATATATTTTAAAACATTGCTTCTGTGAAAGTCCCATGAATTAGGATCTGTAGAAAGCACAAGCATAAATATTGTACAGTTTGACAACGTTTACAGGGTCGGCAAAGAAAAAATTCTTTTGTTCTGAAGAATAAAGATTAGAAATGAACTTTGCGCGCTTAACATACAATTATCTATCTGCAAAATGTTTCCATTTAAAATAATAGGAAAAATGATATCAGTGTTCAAATTATTGCAGTATATTCCATTTTAAACATCTAAGATCTAAAACGCCTGGTCTTGATATTTTCAAAACGTATTGTCTACCATTTTTGTATCTTCAAAACTGAAGGAGATTCCAAATTTGTACAAATTTCATATTTATATAATAAATATCAGAAATCAAAGTCGCTTCTCAATTCCCATGTTTATTGGGACTCCCTATATACAATATACATATCATACAGTCAAACCCTTAATAAGCCATGTACATCGAAAGAATTCATCAAATGTTGTATTTTTCACTTTCTGATAATGGAATGTTGCAGATATTTAGTTTTTTTTATGAAATGATTATGGAGCTCTTTAAAACTGTTCTCACATATTCATGGCTATTTATTTATTTTCGCAAATACTGAGATTTACGTAAAATAGTATAAAACCCATTGAACAATTGTCGAGACGACATTTTATAAAGTCTTTTGGTGTATGGCTCATTTAGGGTTTAACTGTAATATTTTAATAAATCAAGCATTTATCCTCAAATTTTAAAGTGCCCAAAGTGAATATTGAGATCAGGTGTTCAAGATTTCCTCTCCAATGTTCCACAGTTGATCCTACACAGTTCATTTGAAGGAGAAGAAACCCACAGGGTGTCTCACGAAGCATGACTCAGACTGCAGTTGATAAATAGTTCTGAATGTCGTCTTCCATACACTGTATTAGATCGTAAAGACTTTATTCAGTTAATTTCGTTTACAAAATCTTTTGCAGAAATATATTTTGCTTTGAAATTAATTTTACGATAGCATGACTTCTATATAACATTTTTATTATTGTCTTTGGTATCAAACAATTAAAAAAATTATGGAAGAAGACATTCTAAACTATTTACCAACTGTCATATTTCGTAGGACACCCTGTACCATAAACTGCCTGAAATCAGATCTAAATCTTTCTACCTATTAGAGGACGTATAAAAGCGTGACAAATAATAGCACAATTACATCACTGTTATACAGGGTGTCCCAAAAACATGGGAATTCAGTGACGAATTTGATATCGTCTTTGTTATGAATTAGCATTGTAATACCTAATTTCAAAAGCCATAATATTATTATGTCTGCTAGAGTTTATTTAATGAAAAGGGTAAAAGACTGCAAAGATGTGTCTATAATTTGTCTCCGCAAGATGAACAGATAATACAGACAAGTTTACTCTGTTTGTATACTGTAATTTTCTTGTTCTACTATTGTATATGAAAGAAATAACTAAAAGGCAAACACTTGTAAATATAATATTCGTCGAGTCGATTTTTCTTACAATTTATTATTTACAAAGATACAAAAAATAAACGATTGATACTATACTAATAAGATATTATGAATTGAAGCAGTTTCAGAGTGATGGGGAATCTTCAAGGGAACCTCAGTTTAAGGGAGCTGACGATCAACTGATTCTTTTCCCTTCATTTCGCTCCACCCTGGGCTCTCATTTAACCCTAGTTCCCCGGGCGTTGGCCGGCTAGCCCCCCCAGCCCCCGTGTTTCTGGAATAACGGAACTTTCAGCTTGGCTTGGGTTATTTATAGAAATCGCATGCAAACTCAAATAAATCCGTTAGAATTCAAGATAGTATTCAAAAGTCCAACCGAACGGTATAAAGGGGGAAAATGGTTACCTGTATGATCCATGTCCATTGATACAGCACCTTCTAGGAACGATGTAGCTTCTATCACGTTAATTCCTTGAGGGCGCAGCTTTACTCCTTCAGGTACATACTTGAAATGGCCCTTGGTGTTGTGATATCTACTCTTACACTTGGCGCAGAAAGTTCTCTGGCCGGTTTTTGAACAGTCAGCGTGCTTGTGGTTCTGTCCGCAGTACTTACAAACTAAAATTCTGCAGTCACGCATGTAGTGAGCCGCGCCACACTTGAAACAGACTGGAGTTCTGGTTGGAGTTTGCTGAACTGCATTAACATTTGGGTCAGGCTGGGCCGGCTTTACTCTTTGCTGGAATTGGATTATGGAATCGCAAAGAATATTCCACTGGAACGGGACAGAAATTACTATGGATGCTGTTAGTTTAGCCAACTCTGATGAATTTAATCCTTCACATATCTTCTTCAGGAGGAGAGAAGCTTGCGACATTGTCCAGCTCGAGGATGGGCCATAGGCCTCCTCGGCTGTATCCCGTACTCTCTGCAGGAACGCTTGGACTGACTCTGAACTAGCTTGGCGGAAACCTTTGTAGACTTGTAACATCGCATCATCCTTCGTGTTGGGTGAGTGTACCACTGCTGTTATAAGTTGCAGCAAGCTTAGGTAAAGTAGGAATCTTTCTGAGCTTCATTACCGACATCTAGTGCCAGAAGACGTTGCTTCAAACTGGAGGAACAACTATTATAAACAACAGCGATCCGGCCCACTCTACTTGCGATAAAAAACTTATCGAACAGGTCGGAGAAATGAATAGACCAGTGTTTGATAGATTTAGTCGCGAAATCCTGTTGTTTGATATTTTCAACAACTCGTGATATAATCTTCGCCTCAGATTCAGTTAACCTGCTCCACGGCATGGGGGATACTGCATCATCAATAGCCAGGACTTGAGTTTTGAGCAATTGTTGCACCTTCGACTTGTCATCTTCTTTCTTCAAGATGATTCTCGCCTCCGTGGACAGCGTTGTGGTTAGCGACTTCTTAATTGCTTCATCAATATTCGGGATTTGCTCCACTGCATTCTCAAATTGCTCAATTTGCGATGCTAGAGGGTCGCGCGATGCGGGCAGGAACACCTCCTTTAGCCAGCTGAGGAACCAATCAGGTCTACCTCCAGGCCCCCGTTGTTCTCCATCCTAGAATATAAGAATGGAGTACGGTTGAATAATCCGTTGAATTTTAAAAAACATTTTATCGGTCCGTGTTTCTAACATGTTACTTAACTCGCGTCATTTAACTACGTTAATCTGTCGAAACAAAATATTAAAGCTCGATGAAAATATTTCGCCATACTCATGAATCTACAATTTGTTAAACAAGATGAAAATAAAATTGTTTTACCTTGGAATTTCAGTAAAATGTTCACAATTTGAAATGTAACTGTTAACTGTGTTTTAGAATGAGTTGGCGTCTATTTTCAATGCCGTGTTCTGCGCGAGCTTACCGATAGTTCTCTAGCTTTTGGTTAGGGTGCGCCGAAATCCTAGAAAACTATTTTCGCCGAATATTAGTAAAAACGAGTGTTGCTATTTGGGCTTCCAATTTTTGAACTTGTCACCATATTGTATATGAAAGAAATAACTAAAAGGCAAACACTTGTAAATATAATATTCGTCGAGTCGGTTTTTCTTACAATTTATTATTTACAAAGATACAAAAAATAAACGATTGATACTATACTAATAAGATATTATGAATTGAAGCAGTTTCAGAGTGATGGGGAATCTTCAAGGGAACCTCAGTTTAAGGGAGCTGACGATCAACTGATTCTTTTCCCTTCCTTTCGCTCCACCCTGGGCTCTCATTTAACCCTAGTTCCCCGGGCGTTGGCCGGCTAGCCCCCTCAGCCCCCTTGTTTCTGGAATAACGGAACTTTCAGCTTGGCTTGGGTTATTTATAGAAATCGCATGCAAACTCAAATAAATCCGTTAGAATTCAAGATAGTATTCAAAAGTCCAACCGAACGGTATAAAGGGGGGGAGGGGGTTATGCCCCTAGCCAGCTATAATCTGAGCGATCTAAAAAGATCCTTGAATCGCTGATCGTAAAAGATCAACAAAATCACTCATTGTTACACTACTAAGTACAACCGGTTGCAGTCAAAACATAAACAAACAAAATGTAAACATAGCAGACGAAACTCTTACAGATTACAGCTTTCTCAGTAGGTATCACTATGCTAAATCAAAGAATTATTTGAAAAGACGATATCGAATTCGTCACTGAACTCCCATGTTTTTTGGGACACCCTGTATAAAAATACTTTTCTAGAAAAAGATAATTTTTCTAATTTTATCGTTAAAGCCAAAACCATAGGCATAGTCACCCTACAGGGGCTTCATTTCTTCATAAAATGTGGAATCAAAGAAAAATTAGTTTTCTAAATCCTATACCTTTGCAATCTGATGTTGTGAACCTTTGATATTTCAAACTAAGACTATTCATGCAGTGTAACAGAATTCATAGCTTGGAATATCAAATGTCTATAACGACATTGGCTTGCAAATATATAGGGATTACAAAATAAGAGTTTGTGGCAAAAACTCATTTCCTTTGAGAAGAAAACTAATTTCCGAAAGTGTTCAGTAAATTTTATTTGTTTAAATACCATTAAATCTCAAACGTTTGTTCTATAAATATTTAGAATGCATATCTTTTAATAATTTGTTACTCAATCGCCAATTTTTTTTTAATCGATCTTTGTCCAATGAGGTTTTAAAATGTTGTTTAGATTACAAAGATAAAACAGATAGGATTCTTTGCTACACTTTCTGTACAGGTATTTTGATTTTTAATTCATGCTTATTTAACTCATTAAACGAGATTATTTTTTGTTCAATGAGCCATATTTATGGTGCTTAAACTGTGAAACTGTATAAAGATATAAACAAATAATTACATTTTTTGTCCTATCAGTGATTTCATTTATCTATATAATATAACTTTATGTCAGCAATGTCTGGCTGAGCCAAACTGCTGGATCAAGTTTATCTATATAATATAACTTTATGTCAGCAATGTCTGGCCGAGCCAAACTGCTGGATCAAGTTTATTTATATAATATAACTTTATGTCAGCAATGTCTGGCCGAGCCAAACTGCTGGATCAAGTTTATCTATATAATATAACTTTATGTCAGCAATGTCTGGCCGAGCCAAACTGCTGGATCAAGTTGGCTGAAATTTTAAATTTGTTGAGGGAACCGAAAAGAACATTGAAGATCTATTTACAATGGTAAAGTTAAATATCAAAAATATCGATAAAAAGAAACAATTATTATATACATAGTTCTTAAACACTATTATACACATAAAAAATATTAGATATGTAAACTTTCATATAATGCCATTGTAGTATACAAGAGTTTAATTGTGTTGATGTATAATGTAGAGATGGGCCTTGTTTTGTAAACGAAAAAACATTTTTTGTAAACGATGCTGTTGTTCAGAAAAAAATCCAACGATGGACGAACAACTTGGATTGTTCAGAGAAATGAAAAAAACATCGTTTTTTAAAAAACAAAAGTAAAAAAAAACGAACCATTTAAAATCTTTCATGAACGAATTATTTTTTTAAAGAAACATATTTTCCAAAAGGTTTTAAACCGAAAGTTTTTACAACAAACACACAATTTTTTCGTACCAACTTATAAATAAACTTTACGTTTCATTACTGAACGAACGATTTTTTCAGAAAAAACTGTTTAAAAACTATCAATGAACGATTTTACTTAACCATCGTTCAGTGACAAAACGAACGAAGTAGATCGAAAATGAACGATAATTTTGAAAATGAACGAAATTCATTTATTTTTGAACGATTGAAAAAGACTAACAAAGTGGGGGTCGTTTCCGAACGATTAAGAAACGAAATGAAAAAAGCCCAGTCCAAGATGTATCCAAAAGTTGATAATCCAAAAGAAAGCTGTAGAGAATTTCAATTCAGAACTCAATGTGAAATATTTTTTACTTTTCCCTTGCTTGTTCTAAACTTAAATATACTATATTAAAAATATTTCTTTTTGCTAAATTTTACTTTGTTTCCCTAAGATGAAGAGCCATTAATTAAACGTTGTGTTTTTGAAACTATTTCAAAATAAACCATTTGCAGTTTATACCAGTGCAGTTTATACCAGTGCAGTTTATACCAGTGCAGTTTATACCAGTGCAGTTTATACCAGTGCAGTTTATACCAGTGCTATCTTATTAATTTATAGTAAGTTGGGTGCTTAAAAAGTAAGCAATTGATTTACTAAAAAATTAATAAAGATTTAAAATCAATTATTTTTCCCCTTGAATAATACAAAAATTCACATTTTAGGGATTGAAAGTTCCTAACTTAGCTTGTGCTCCAAACATGACCGCACTGCAATGGGAATAACAAACTCATTAGAATTGGAACTTTTAAGGAACACAATGGTTTGATTTGATTTGATTTGATTTCTGTAAAAAGTTAATTTAAAGATTTAAACAATCAAAAACAATAATGTGTCAAATATTTTATTACCATAAATACTGTACAGATTGGCACATCGAAAAATGCATCATAAAAGTTTGTTTTTTTACAATTTTTACGACAAAATAGATAAAAGAATTTTCAAAAATAATGATGAATAGGTACCTTTGTAAAAAATATAGCTCTAAAGTATATACGAACATTTTTTAAGTGATTAAATTTTCAAATATATTCATTATGGCGGGAACATTTCTGCTTTTTATTTCAGATACCTCTTCTTCAGTAGGCTAGGATCCACAATCTGTCCAGTTGAACTCTAAACAAAACTTACAAATATTATCTCATTAAAGAATTTTAACATTTTTAAACTTTGCTTAAATAAAATACAACGACGACTTTTTAGGCCAAGAACATTTGCTTAGAATTTAATTAGTATTACATATATATCAAACACGAGACAAGAGTTCAACGAAATATTTTTTCTTTAAAGTAGTTTCTTATTATTGACCTTATTCCATATGCTAACTCTTGTGAGGCTGTGACCCCATTATCCCTATTATCCCTATAATCCCTATTATCTCTATTATCCCTATTATCCCTTTAGACCTGTATATCAGTATACTTAACTACCTGTATATTGTTGATGACCCCAATGAGCTCGTTGATATCCTGAACCTCCTCGTTCATGAGAGCCTCCAGGTCCTCTGCTCGCGACCGTAACCTTGAAAATAGGTAGGTTATATCTTTATAATAAAGCTTTTAACTTTTATATATATATATATTCAATATATATATATATATATTTGTATGTCATCTATAGCTGGCCATAAGGCTTGTCCGAATTCCGAATTGGTTAACATTTCTTAATGGAACCTCTGGGGCCACATAGGCTAAAAAAATCTTCTTCAAAATTCTTTTTTTTTAAATTCCACATCTAACATTCTTAAATTAAAATTAAAATCATTAAATAATTTCTTACTTTTCGTTTTCTGCCTGGAGTTCCTTGTTTTTATTGACAAGCTGACCCTTCCAGGTACAAAGATTTAGCACCTGAAAATAAAAATCAAGTTTAAAATATTTAAAAATGTTCTTATTTATTATTTCTTGGGGTTTCTTTTAATTATTTGAGGATGCTAAAAATTCTTAAGATTCATACTTTAGCACTTTTAAAGAAAAAGTTTAGCACTTTAAAGAAAAGGTTCAGCACTTTAAAGAAAAGGTTCAGAATTTTAAAGAAAAGTTTCAGCACTTTAAAGAAAAGGTTCAGCACTTTAAAGAAAAGGTTCAGCACTTTGAAGAGAAGGTTCAGCACTTTAAAGAAAAGGTTCAGCACTTAAAAGAAAAGGTTCAGCACTTTAAAGAAAAGGTTCAGCACTTTAAAGAAAGGGTTCAGCACTTTAAAGAAAAGGTTCGGCACTTTAAAGAAAAGGTTCAGTACTTTCAATAAAAGATTCATTGTTTGGGCTGTCAATGTACGATGAGTATGGTTTAAAGACCTCATTGTAAAATCGTGTGCCCGAACAAAAATATGTTTGTACCTTCTCTTTCTCTGCTCTGAGTTCTTGTTTTAGTTTCTCTGCCTCCTCTTCATTAACGGCTCCAGAATTCTAAATTAAATAAAACAAAAATAGAATTTGAATTTTTTGTTATTTTTTTTTGATATCCGACGATCATCGTTCGGAATTTTAAAAGTAAAGCCATTCCATGTTTTTATAACAATTAGTTAAAACGGCCATTTTTTGAAAAGGATGACGACACAATTTTAAGAAATGCTCGATTTTCAGATTGACATGCCCAATTAACAACGATACATTTTAAATCTATGTATCTCAGTAACATTGAGAAAGATTTCGTCGTTTCTCAATAACAAGAAAAGCGAAATGGTCTTTTAATTTACTCTCTTATTTCTGCTGCAAAAATAAAAACAGTCCCTTTATTTGAGAAACCGCAATCGATATTTTTCAGATGAAATTGAAATATCGTCAATATTCGTCATTTTTTAAAATAAATTTTTTAAAATTACCTTGTTGTCTTTCCCTCTAGAAACCAGCCATTCTTTCTCTACTTTCAACTAAAATAATTGTAATTAAATTAAGAAAATTTATGATTTTTGACGAAACGAAGCCATAAATTTTTCAAATTTTTATAACAAAAATTGTTAATTAAGAAACATCTGATTTCTAACCTGATCTATTTCCACTTTCATTTTCTTTTCTTCCCTGCACATTTTCTCAACATCTCCACTGAAAGGAAAAGGAAACGTAAACAAACTAATTTTACAATATTTTTGTTTTTTAAAATAGCTCTGTTCAATACCTCCCTCCAACCCCATACCCTCTCTTATTCACTCTCTCCCAACCTCTTTAACAACCTTTCTGCCAACCTCTTCCCCAACCGCCGTCCAATTCCCAACCTTTTTAACAACCTTTCTCCCAACCTCTATCTCATTGCCAACCTCTTTAACAACCTCTATACTATTCCCACCCTCTTTAACAACCTTTCTCCAAACCTCTTTCCCAACCTCAATACCATTTCCAACCTCTTTCCCAACTACTCTTTCAGCATTTCTTCCAACCTCTCTCTTAGGATGACTTCCCAACCGCTTTCCCAAACTCTCTCCCAACCTCTTACCCAAACTCTCTCCCAACGTCTCTTCCAGCATTTCTCCCCACCTATTTCTCAAACTTTCTCCCAACCTTTTTCCCAACCTCTTCCCAACCTCTTCCCAACCTCTTTTCCAACCTCTTTTCCAACCTCTTTTCCAACCTCTTTTCCAACCTCTTTTCCAACCTCTTTCCCAACCTCTTTCCCAACCCCTTTCCCAACCTCTCTCCCAACCACTTTCCCAAACCTCTCATCCAACATCTCTCCCAGCATGTATTCCAGAATGTATCCCAACCCTTTCCCAACCATTCTCCCAATATCTTTTCAAACCTCTCTCCCAACCTCTTTCCCAACCTCTTTCCCAACATCTTTTTCATCATCTTTCCCAACGTCTTTCACAAAATCTTTACCAACCTTTCTCACATTCTGTTTCCCAACCTTGTTCCCAACATCTCTCCCTGCATGTCTCCCAATCTTTCTCTCCCAAACCTCTCTCCTTTCTAATTCCCTCATTAAACCCTCCACCTACCTAAGCTGATCTTTCGCCATCTGTGTTTCGAATAGTTGAGCAGATAAATCTTCTGCTCTACGGGCCAACTGCTCAAACTTTATAGTCCTAAATATTTAAGTACACTTTACATTTTGTATGTACACTGACACCGTACAATTTTGTACTTTGATTGATATTCTAGTAATACACAAGGAGTTCAGTTACCCCCCCGCCCCCCCAACTATTATAAAATAGGAGCTTACAATGACTCAGTGTAAAAGACCATTGAGGACACTATTTTCATTGATTCCCGTAAAGAAAAATCCCTGTCGTTTCGTATACAATCCCTTTAAAACAAAATGCATATAAATACCTGTCCTTTGCTAGTTCTGCCTTCTTCTCCAGTTCTAGAGCAAGGGATTCTAGTTCTTGCTCTAATCTTTCACGTTCTTCACTCTCATTCACAACCTGCAGATAAATATTCAGACAGTGACGACATTTAAAAATGACAAAATTAGAATAAAATATTAGACACTATCTGGAAAATTACAGAAACCTTTAATCAGAAAAAGCCATAAAACCAATAGTAAGTCGGTTTTGAACTTTTGTTTTTTTTTAAACTGACCCAAATTTTAATCGGTATAAAGGTTTTAAACCGAGTTAGATGAATTCTATTGAGAAAATTCAGTTTCCCAAGTTAGTATTATAATTAGGTTGAAACCCTCTATAGACCTCTAGAAACTGATCATTATTGAGTACTCAATTTTTCAAGGAATTTATATTTTCAGCTCGTTTCGTTTCAATTCACCAATTTTTTTAGATTTTTCTTGTTATTCCTAAAAATGGAATCATAATGTAAACTGTACTAAAAAAAAACAAATAATACATGTAGCGATCAACTCAGATATAATTCAAATCTCCATAAAAATTGATATCGACAAATATTGCCATGAAAAAATATTCTTAATTGCATGAATGCAGTACCTGGGCATTGAGATTTGAAACTGTAGCCTGCAATTTTACCAGATTTACCTGGGCATTGAGATTTGAAACTGTAGCCTGCAATTTTACCAGATTTTCTTCATACTCTTCTTTAAGCTCCTAAAGTATATTTTAATGATGACGTAATCCAACGAAAATCCCCTTTAGCCCCCCCCCCCCACCATAGAGTCCGCAGCTTAAGAAAATCCAATAAAAAAATATTCTATTTGCAAAAAAAACCAATTGAATTCCCATTTATCTTACAAGCTTAAAGGGAGTGACCGGCTATGTAAGGTAGTTGAACTGATTATGCAGTGTTGTGGAAAACTTCTTTCGGATTCATTTGAGACATATTAAACTTTTTAAAGATCAGTAAATCCTGAATTTGAGCGCAAAACTCCTACTTTGGGAGTGGATACGTTTTCAGAACTAGTTTTTTTAATTATTAAACAACGACGACATAAAATGTAAAAAAAGTTCTACAGTAAACTACAGACGTCATTGAAAATAAGTTGTCTTGTTCAATTATTAGTTTCTATTTTCTCATTATTCACAAAGATTTTCGCAGATTTTCTAGAATTATTATTGAAAAGACAACATTTGAAGAATTTAAAGAAATCTGCGAAAAAATTTAAAGAAGATAAGAAATTTAATATTATAATGAAAACGAAATAATCGATTTTAGCATTGGTTTATTGACGAATATCTTTTGAGAAATATGTTCCTAACTATCTAATTAGATTACTGTATAATTTTTACTTTATTTTTCGTTGTCGTTATTTAATACCGGCCAAACTTTGTTTAATCAAGTATTATTATATTAATTGTATATCATTAATGATTAAACTGATTATTTTCAATTGTGGTTGGAGGTTTCTCTGCAAAAGAGAGTTGCGCAAATCTTATATAGGGAAACCTATCCGAGGTTATCAGAATTAAACACTTTTAAATCTTAAAAAACGACAAAATCTTCCACATTATCGATCAGATAAAGGTTTACAGCTGGTATACTGTTTTGAACTGGGCAATTGTCATACTGAGTCACTTGAAATGACGATAACAGACCCTTTAAAGTTATTTTCAACCTGATTTGACTTAGACGACTGTTTTTCGTGTGATTCTCTTTCCTACAAAAAAAAAAATTAAATGAAATAAAAAACCTTCTATATAAATAAAAAGCTCTTCTATGTACAGGGTGTCCCACATCAAATTAGACCGCGTCAATGGGTCTAAATTACGATTTTGGGGACAAATCAGAAAATTTAGGACGAATCAATCATTTTGAAAAATTTAATAAATTTTTCGAGTATTATGTGCGTATTTTGGCGTTAAAGATTGGAGATAATCTAATATGATATGGGACGCTCTGTATATATTTCTATATATGCTAGCTACAGCTGGCCAAACGGCTGAATTATTATCAGGGAACCCATGGGTGCCAGGGGGGTAACATAAGACAAAAACATTCAAATTTTTTTCAAAATTCGAAATTTTTATTCTTTTTAATTCAAATTTTTTTTCAAGATTCGAACTTTTCCACGAGCAACGCCGGGCACTTCAGCTAGTTTAATATAATACAATTTCATGTGAATTTTTTAAAAATTAACGAATTTTTAAAAATTATGTTTTTACCTGAATAAGCTTATCATTGTCCATTGATAAAATTTTGACGGATTGAACCAGCTCAGCAATATTTTTCTCTAAAATTGCATTAAATACTAATTTCTAAAATTCTAAAATTCTAATTCTAAATTCTAATTTCCCCAAAAATCAGAAACCGAGTAAGACTTTAAATTAAAATATATATTTTTATTTTGATAAAGTTTTATGCATTCCTAATTTCGATTTTTCTTCTGCCCACGTTTTGCGCTCCTCTGTCAGCTGATGATCGGCCATTTTCTTTTCTTCGGCCATCTTGGATTTTTCTTCTTCCCAGATTTCTTCCTCTCGATAAAGCCGTTCAACCTGAATTAAGTTATCAAATTCGGGTTTCTTTAAAATAAAATTCAATGATGAGAATTAAGAAAACCATAATTTTTGGCTATAAGCTTTGCAGATTAAAAAAGAAGAAAAAATGCCAAGTTGCAAAAAAAATATTATGAAATCGTTCTTCGTGAGTTGTGACGTACATATACAGAGTTAAATTGAAATACTTCCGATGGTTATTCCTGAGTTTAGTTTAATTTTGTATTTAATAATAAGATGCGCAGATTATCAAATTCTATTGTATTAACTGTCCATAAAGTCATTTTTGAACAGTTTGCAAAGATTTGCAAAATGAATTCTGTAAATTCCTGATTCTTCTTGGAAATAAAGTGCATATGGCTCATTTCAAGTCCAACCTTATAGATTTCACAGACAGGACAAGTGAGGTTTAACTTTTTCAAGTCTTGCAGTAACATTTGATACAACAGGGCTTTTATCTGTAGATTTTAACCAAATGCGCGAAAAAAAATATCGGAGAGGCTGTACAGTGCAGTGTACTCATTCAAAAAATGCGTCAAACAAAGATTTTTGGAAAGCTTGCAAGTACAGTGTACAGTGAGTTTATCAAAAAAGAAACCTCCCCTGCACTATCTTAGCAAATCTGTGGTTAAAACTAATCTAGAGTTTTGGCTAATTCCAGATTGATATATTTCAATATCTACCTTTAACTAAAAAGGTTGGTGATTGCCAAGATAATTATTACTAATATAAAGATCCGTTAGAAAAATGAAGTTATGGGATTCAATTTCTATCAAAGTTTTAAAAGATTCTATTAAAGTTTTTTGAGAATTTATCAAAGCTTCATGAGATTCTATCAAAGTTTTATGGGGTTAAATTGAAATTTTATGAGATTCTATAAAGCTTTTAGAGATTTTATCAAAGTTTATTGAGATAATATCAAAGTTTTATGAGATTGTATCAAGGTTGTAGGAGATCATACCAAAGATTATGAGATTACATCAAGTTTTCTGAGTTCCTATTAATGCTAAGTTAAGTTTCTAGAGAATCAATTTAAACAATATTTTTTCAGATTCTTTCCGAGATTTTGATATAACGAAAACAACGCTAGGATTTTTCTAACACAGCTATAAAACTGAATTTACCTCGTCTACGAATTCTTGATTAGCTTTCATCAATCCAACCCTCTCAGCTCTCCAGTCTCGATTACTCTCTAAACACAAATATTTTTTATTTGACACTTTGGTCCATCTTAAAGGGACTGTAAACGTTATTTCTAGCGACCCTCCATTGATTTACAACGGAACACTTTTTTACTTAAGAAATAATCGAGAAATTATTAGAATTTATAACTTTTCAAGCTAGAAATACGACGTTATCTTCCACATTTCTGATCAGAGTAAGGTTTCAAAGGTATCCTTGTGAATCAGGTATGCCCCTCTGTTTCTTTTTTTAATGGAGGGTCACTTAAATTTACTATAACAGCCCCTGCAGACGATATTTCAAGTAAACCTCCATTAAATTGGGCGTCACATGAAATTAATAAGAATTCCAGGCTAATATACAAACTAATAAATTATATTCTGAAGAAAAAATTCAGGAGTTTACTTAGTACTCTTTCAAATTCTAAAATCTTTATATCTAAGGTTACAAAAAATCATACTTAGAGGCCCTGGCAACACTTGCAAGGTTGGCCCGGTCATTTCTATTAATGTAGATTACCTAGAAGCTTCTTGCTCTCTGTGGCGAGTTCTACGTTAGCTTCTAGAAGCTTTTCCATCTCAAGCTCTAGATCATGTTTCTCAGAACTCAGCTTACGGATCTCATGAGTTGCCTGAACAGCAAATAGTTTAACCCACAACTTTGGAGTCATTGAAAGAAATTACGAAATGTCGTCTTGACAATTTATCAATGGTTTTTATACTATTATTATAGCTTTGGGACCAATGCATTGTCCAGGGTACTCATATTTACTCCCACTGTTTACCCACACTTGGCCTTAAATTACAATTTAGCGTTTTTTCTACAAAATTTGACCCACTCAACTTAGAATCTCAAAACCAAGCTAAGAACATTCCCGCGGGTCTTTCGAGTTCCCCAATGAAAATTTGAGACAATGCAGAATATAAAAATTAAGCCAATCAGCAAATTAACAACAGGGTCTAGATCAAGCATAGATCTCAATATCATCAAAACAAGTGCATGTCCCGATTCACAACGGTAACCTTTAAAGGTTTTTCTGATCCGGGAGGAAAAAATATTGTGCTTTCTATACATTTTACAACTAACATCAACAGAATTCAACCATTTTTTAATAAAAACACGATATAGATGTGATTTAAAGGGTACTGCTGTGAATCGGACATGGCACGAGTTCTCAGCTAAGAGTGTTCGATTGGGAGAACTGTCTCAGGTCAATTTGGATATGATGACGAAACCAGTGTTTGTATTTATGTTTTATTAAAACCCATTAAAGGGACTGCAGTAGTCGTAATTTAAAGTGACACTCAAAGCACTCAGCACAGATGACAATGCCCGAATAGCTACGGTACCCTTAACATCTTTATCTTATTATCAATGTGGAAGATATTGTCGTTTTTCTAGGTTTAAAAGTATTTAATTCCGATGATTCCGATGTCTTCCTGCAATAGAAGAGTGCAAATCACTGTTGTAGAGAAACCAGAATCAAAATAATTTGATGTCAAAATTTTAATTATTGAATTCTAATTGATAATTAATCAGACAAGTGCTTTTAAGTGTAAGGTTGTAAGTCGTGCATTGAAAACTTTGCTTGGAGGGTCACTTGAAATTACGCTTTTAGTTCTTTTAATAAAAAAATTGTCAACACGACCAATCCATCTTATTTTGACATAAGTCCATTAAAATAATTGAGAACATAACCATGCATAAATTGACTAAAAATAAAAATAAAAAGTTCTAAATGACAGAATAATTGTTTAGTTACTTAACTGCCGGAATGCCGGATAAATCATAAGTCAATTGATTAAATTGATTAAATTGATTGGTCTTAATTGACGATCTTGAATTCGTTAAATTCCACGATTTGAAGGTTAAATTCTTCATCCTGTATTTTGCACATATTTAACATAATCTTGTCTGTTTGTCAATGATGTAAAACTCAAAAAAATGTTCAAGAAAAAATACGAAATTTTACAGTTTATTTCAGAACTTTGGAGACATCGAAAGAATTCATTTAATGGCGTTTTGACAATTTTTCCATATTTTTTTTAAATCTCGAGCAGTAGTTGAAAAAATAAGTAAATAGCCATGAACTTTAAAGAGTTCCATCTAATTATTCAATTAGGATACTAAATATCTGCAGCATTCCATTATCAGCAAGTTTAGAAAACAACAGTTTATAAATTCTTCCGGTGTCTTCGAAGTTCTGGAATAAACTGTATTATTGTGGTTGTTTTCAGAGAAACGCTGAATTTTAACAGCAAAAAATCCTAAAATATCAATTCAGAATATAAATAAAAACAATTCACCTTGTTTAATAATTTTTGATAATTATTTGTGATACTCCGAATCTCCCGAGCAGTTGAGGGGCTGGGACTATTAGCAGCTAGACTTAGGTTACTAAAATATTTTAAATTAACCATTTACTTTAAAAATTGGAAAAGTCACTTTAAAGTGCGATTAACGATTGATAAAGTTAACTTGCTAAATAAAAAGCCACGAGCCAAGCTTTTTAGGAAAGACTTAGAATTGTCGACACTCGAGTTTACGTCACTATTCTAATTAAGGATCTATCAATAATTTTACGTTGATAGTTGATAAATTACAGTTAAACAATTTTTTAAACTGTGCAGTTACCTCATGCTGATAGATCTATTAAGATCTGTCGGGGTTTCGTCTCCATTTTGCAACACTTGAATTGGATTGGCACGAAAATAATTTTTCCCGCCATTTTCTGATCGTTCCGCAGCATTTTTAGCATGCCGCGCTTTCAAAAATCCGCCATGTTCCGCCCTGGAGGGGTTTAATGATGACGTTGTACTACTGAAACTGCTCACACTGAAAAAGACCAATACAAATAACATGTTACAGACAACAGGGGTTCAAGGTTTATAAGATCATTCAATGACTCGAAAAAAATTGTAAATCAGAAGTTGTTAATCATAGTTTTTCTTAGGTAACAAACAATAATTAAATAAAAAACTACTGTACAATTTAACAAAAACCTAACATGAAAACTTATATCACGTAGTAAATTGAGTATTTGAATCGGAAACAAAACATTAGGCGATAAAAAAAGCTTTTTAAATCTCAGTCTTGCAAAGAAATGTTCTCAGTTTAATCAGGAGAAAGTTTTTTTGTACTTGAAAAATAAGTCATAACTCGAAGTATCATTATCATCTATAAAATAACGAATTAACTTCTGTTCAATGATTTTGCACTCAAGGTTTATTATGATCGTGAACTAAATATTCTTTTTACCTAAATGTATCTTCTGTCTCACTATCAGGATTACTGAAATCAAATGAACATTAAACACATTTGTAAAATAAAATATAAATTTTTCTATCATATAGATTCTTGTGAATCTTTAAATTAATTTATACGTCGCTCCCTCCCCGGGAGTTTCTCATATTTGAATTAATTTTTGGACAAACATAGGGCGGCTCAGTATCATGTTTATTTTTCTTAAATGTTTACAAAACATTTACGGTTTGTTTATGTTTTTAACAGTATAGGTTTTTATTTGCGTTTATTTCTAGCATGAGTCATATTTAAGGTAGTAAACCTTCATTTTATTGCATGTTTGAGGAGAGTAAAATTGAAAGAAAAATGTTAGATAAACATCAATTAAAGTTTTACCTAAAATATTTTTGTTTGAAGGGTCGGAACACGTAATGTTTAAGTGACCCTCCATGCAAAGATGTCAATACCCGATTCACAAGGGTACCTTTAAAACCATTATCTGATCAATAAGGAGGAAGATATTGACGTTTTTTTTTTATTAAAATAGACTAATTTGTATCATTCCTTTAGGATTCCTACAGTAGAAATGGGCAAGTTAATTTTGTACAGAAACCAATTGAAAATAATCAGTTTTAGATTAAAATTAATATTTACATTAAATATTATAATTGATCAGACAATGGTTTTAAGGGTACCGTTGTTAATCGGGAATTGTCATCTTTGCATTGAAAGTTACTTGAATTACGTTTTAAATCTCTTTTATTAGTTATCGAAGATCTAATATGGTACTTCACCGAAATATGTTAAAATCACTTATTTTGGAACTATCTTCATAACAATAGCAACGTAATTAATATATAATAAATTAATAAATAAAGAATTAAAGAAATTATCACTTCAACGAAAAGGTTCCCAAGACTACTGTGTCGTTTTAATTTTTCTAGATATCTGTAGCTTTTTAATTTAATCTCTATATCTTTGCAACCTGATGTTGTTTACATTTAATAATTCAAACCTAGTTCATTTGATCATTTGATCATTGTGCTGCAAAGCTATAAGAATAAGAAGATCTGACTTTGGTGCAAAGACTCAATTCCTTTGTAAATCTCTATATAAATTTAGCTTGTCTGTCTGTTTGTATCCAATAAACGTCAAAACGGCAGAACCGATCGGGCCCACAAGGAAGGTTTATGAATGACAAAAATAAAAAAATGTGTTTTAAAGTTTTTTAATTTTGTAAAAAAAATTAATTTGTAAAAATCCGCAAAATCTTTTTATTCTTTGTTTTAAAATGTAAACAAAAAGAACATGTTCACAATTTAAATAGAAGATGGGCGCAAAGCGCCCTAAAAGCCTAGTATAATAAAAATAAATTATTTAATTTTAAAATCAAACTGCACTTAAGTTTAATTAAAGTTAATAATTTTATGCAAAGAAAGCATGATATGCGATTGAATTACAATTTTTATCAAAAAAAAACTTTTTTCGCAATATCGAACATTTCGAAAATTTGATTTTCAAATCTCCCTGTTGCAAAGTGGTATGTGTATATGTTTGTGAGTCTGCCATTTAAATGTATGGATATTGTCATGAGATTGAGAGAGAGAGTTTAGTGTTAAAGAGACTATAGTCCCAAAACTCAAAATTCGAGTAGTTTACATCTAATCCTAAGAGAAAAATGAAATTTTGGAAAAACTGAAAAATAACGATAAAAAAGCTGTTTTCAAAATTTTGTCTAAACAATGAAATTTGAGGACATTTACTTTAAGTTCTCGTAAGAAGAGTCTTTGCACTTTCAAGTATTAGTGTGAGTTAGATAAATGTGTCACGGTAATTTAAAGGAACTGATACTAAAGGAAGGATACGATTTTTGGACCCCCCATCCCCCCTTCCTCCCCTCCGATCAATTTTTTTAAATGACGTCTTATTTTTCAGCAAAATTATTATTATTTTTTTTAATTATTTTAGGATTAGGTTAGGTTACGACAATTTCTGGGCCGAGCGCTGCGGCTAGGACAGAATAGGGGGCCGAGCGCCGCGGCTAGGACAGGTTAGGGGCCTAGATCCATGTACAAAATTGATAGGAGGGGGGAGGGGGGTCCAAAAATCGTTCTCTAGGAAATTACCCTTAAATTTTCTAATCTCTATATCTTTTTAACCTGATGGTGTAAACCTGCATGGTATTATATCTGATCTATAATATAAAATTCATAGTTGGAAATATCTGTGGTCTAAGACATCGGTTTGCAAAGATGTAGGGATGAGAAAATCAAAGTTCGTTGCAAGGACTCAATTCTTTCCAGTAATACAGTTAATCTAAACATTCGAACAAATCTTAATTATTATTTATTATTTTTCAGCTTTTTAGTTATATGTTTTGAAAATCTAATATTAGGACCACGACACTTGGTCTTTTTAATGATAAGTTAAAAGTTAATTCTGATACAGATTGGACATACTTTATTCTTGCTAGTTGCCCGTGGTGTGTATATAACTGAGTAAATATGAATAATATCACATATTCGTGTCAAATATCAACATTTATAATACCTGGAGTTGACACATATTCTCGTCACTCCTCGTTCTTCATGAATCCGCGCCATTGACATCTTATTTCACTTTTCATCAACTAGAATCTCACTTTTTCCTTTTCAGGTTATTTATCTGTTTCCTTCTAATGTTTGAGAATGCTGTATCCTGTTTACCAGCCTGTCATATAACGTTTATGATTTTCCAGAAATTGGGCGGGAAATTTCTCAGAAAATCCGCGAATAGTTTTGGGAGCCTGAAATGTACACTGTACACTGACCACCGGCCTTGACGGATTCCAAGAAGAGCGTCCAGGAGGACTACACACCATACACACTCATGACACAGGGTTGTGTAGCATAAAGTAGAATGAGAAGTAGTTGTTGAGATACAACTTTCACTTGAAATATGCATCAACAATTTATTCTGCAATCCACCATCCGCTGGACTCTTGTCTGAAACGTGAATAGAACATGAATACCATGAATACGACATGAAAAATTCGTTTATTGCATCATCAGCCAATTTGAAATTATCTTCCTAAATTGCAACTTTAAGTGCCTTTTTACACATATTAAATGCAAATCTTGAAAGAATTGTTTTATTTCATTTTTCGTTCATAATTTGACCATATGTTACTTTGGATGTCTTTGCAAATTCATTTTAAACAAACGCAAAAATAATTAAACAATACTGATGATAAACATATTAGTATTAAAGATAAAAATAATAATAATGATAATACTAATAATAATAATAATAATAATAATATTAACTAGTACATTTATGTAATAAGGAGTTAGTGTATAATTTTTCTACCAAAATTGTTTTACTTCCAAAATTAGAGCGCTAAAGAATTTATCAAATTGTTAAATTATTATGAACATTAAATCTAATAATATGTCAAATTAATGAATAATGGAGAAATGTTTTTAGAAACATTAAATACATTTTAAGACCAAAAAATTATTTATGGTCATGTTTCCTTGCTGTATCTATCTATCTATCTTTGCATGCATCTATTTATCTATGCATTTATCTATATATCTATGTAATGCATTTATAGGAATATGTATATGGACAGATATATGTATCTGTTCATATACATGTTCTTATTTAAATCCAGATCAATCTATCATGTATCTATGTATCAATATATATCTATGTAACTATGTATCAATATATATCTATATATCTATGTCTAAATGTCTAAATGTATTTATCTATGTATATGTCTTAAATATTTTGTTATGTATTGTCTATGCATTTGTCATCATGATGTATCTTTGTATCAATTTATCTATGTATTTGTTTATGTATTGTCTATGCATGCATAATGCATATATATATATATCTAGGTTTCCTTATATCAGATATATAAATATCTATAAAACTGCTTTCAATATTCAACAGATGTAAACTGTCATTGCCATCACTTTCAGTCCTTTTCAGAAGATAAAGGAGACACGTGAAATAGATATTAATCTTTCATTCGGAATTCGGGCTTATTAAGCAGGGACTTGTACACTTGCCACAAACTCTTTTTTTCTAAACCTTTTTTGTACAACCTGATATCTAGTATATATACATGTTCCTATATAAATCCAGATCCATCTATCATGTATCTATGTATCTATGCCTCTATGAATCTATGTTTTTATGTATCAATATATATCTATGTATCTATGTATCCCTCTGCATCCCTCTGCATCCCTCTGCATCCCTCTCTATCCCTCTACATCCCTCTGCATCCCACTGCATCCCTCTGCATCCCTCTATACCCCTCTGCATCCCACTGCATCCCTCTGCATCCCTCTGCATCCCTCTGCATCCCTCTGCATCCCTCTGCATCCCTCTGCATCCCTCTGTATCCCTCTGCATCCCTCTGCATCCCTCTGTATCCCTCTGTATCCCTCTGCATCCCTCTGCATCCCTCTGCATCCCTCTGCATCCCTCTGCATCCCTCTGCATCCCTCTGCATCCCTCTGCATCCCTCTGCATCCCTCTCCATCCCTCTGCATCCCTCTCCATTTATTTGAATGATGTAAAGGCTTGCATTTCATGCCTTACCAGAGTTTCTTTTTATTCTTAAATCCAAGTTTCAAATTTCTAATTGAGAAACTTATATACACATTACACAAGAATTTAAATATAATCCGGTTCAACTGTTGATGCTAGTAGTGTACAGGGTGTCCTGCATTTCAATCCACATTCACATATTACAGAGTGTCCAGAAAAATAATCCTCAATGGCATAAACTCCTCATTGAAATTTTACAGGGTAATTTTAATATGAAAAATGTTTTAGATTGAAACTTCTTAGTGGATAAGATGGAGCTATAAAAAAAATTGATTTGTAAAAAACACACAAATTTAGACAATATAACATTATTTTGTAAAAATTAATTTAAAAAACATTTTGGTATTTCTTAGTCAGTGTCTCTTTGTTTTAGATTAGAACAAAGGATCTCCTAGTCGTAATCCAAAGAAAAAATCATGAATTTTTCTCTCTACAAATCCTCATAATTACCCCCCCCCCCCCCC